TAATGTTAGATTAAAATATGTTTATAAATGTTTGTATACCATTTTTGCAGTGCCAGTGTGAGTTTGAGCTAAAAACAAACAAACAAAAAAAAGGTTGTACTTGTACCTATCTTAGAAATTGGTTACAGCGGTTGCACATACAGATAGCTATTTTCTACCTAAAAAAGTGCCACCCATGATTTTAACATTTATTTCAGTGGTAGTACATCTGAAAGGGTTTTCCTGTTGACGAGATGTAACTCATGTGTATATTTATGTACAGGATGGAAAAGCAGCATAGAAAATTCTTAAACTACATTACCAGTAGTTCCTGAGCGGACAGGTCTGATTTTCAGAACAAGGTAGGACATTTTTTATTGTAGGTTGAAAAAAAAAACATGATATTGTTGATTGCAATTATTGTGTTTTTTATATAAAATAGTAAAAAAAAGAAGAAGAAGAAAACAGCTAAAACGAGTAGCCTTATTGAGCAGAGATGAAACATCAGACAGCATTTGCAGTAAACCCGTGAGGAACTGTAATTATTAACTGTGGATTATTGTAATGATGCATGCTTTCAATGTGCAAAAACTCTCAGTAATGATGCATGCTTTCAATGTGCAAAAACTCAGTATTATCATTTATAATATATAAACATATAATATATAGGCTATATGTAATATGATAAACATTCTATAAAATATTATTTTTCTATTTATATAAAATAATTGTATATTTTATGTACTTTTTAAATAATACATTTATTAAATAAAATGAAATTATAGTTGCAAGTATGGTTTATATAAAATAGTAAAAAAAAGAAGAAGAAGAAAACAGCTAAAACGAGTAGCCTTATTGAGCAGAGATGAAACATCAGACAGCATTTGCAGTAAACCCGTGAGGAACTGTAATTATTAACTGTGGATTATTGTAATGATGCATGCTTTCAATGTGCAAAAACTCTCAGTAATGATGCATGCTTTCAATGTGCAAAAACTCAGTATTATCATTTATAATATATAAACATATAATATATAGGCTATATGTAATATGATAAACATTCTATAAAATATTATTTTTCTATTTATATAAAATAATTGTATATTTTATGTACTTTTAAAATAATACATTTATTAAATAAAATGAAATTATAGTTGCAAGTATGGAGAGGAACTGGGTTATGTGAGAATAACCCACTCACTCTTTATACTTTTTAACCAACTACAATTTGTATTTATATTTAAATCTTCCTTTAGTATTTTGTACCTTTTCGGGGTGATTTTATTGAGAATTTGAAGTACATTAGCCCATTTTTTGGCCCCCCCCCCCTTTTTTAGGAGAATGTCTGAGGTAAATGAAAAAGTCTCTATAACAGCCCCAGAGTTGGGGACTCCGCCCTTAAGGTCAGATACAGGGCCTGTGATTGGTGGATTGCATTTGCGATCTGCACCAGGAGCTTGTTTGTTGTTTGCTGGTGTTTTGCTGATAGTAGGAATCTGCGTCGCTGTGGGGGGGTACTGGAACAATCAACCCCGCAGACAAACACCACATCACGTTTCAACAGGAAGCACCTCTTCAGAGAAACTGAAGCTGATTGGTCCTGTCATCGTGGGGGTGGGGCTTTTCATCTTTATTTGTGCCAATACAATTCTCTATGAAAATCGTGACCGAGAACAATGTCATGAGCGAGACCAACATAAAGATGACAAGGAGATCCTGCCACTGGTACAAACTCATAGGAATAATCATTCAAAACGGTTCTCACAAACAGAAACCAACGCACATACATTGGATTTGTCTGAACTCAACATCCATTGCTTAGAAGAAGGGTCCGGAATTCCCACCCTAAAGTGTTCTTCGCCATCCTCTGGCTCATGTAGCTCCAGTCAAGTGAACTTGGAAACTGGCTTACCCCTCCGAGATCGCAGAAACATGGAAAGATTGGCCTTGCCTGTCATTAAACTCAATGACTGTCTGATTGGCTCCTCAGACCCAGTGCCTCCACCTCTCCCTGAACGGACATACCGGAACAAGATGGGAGTGGAAAATATAACAAATGTGGAGCTAACACAAGTGAATCTTGCAGATTCATCTCTAATGATATTGAACAAAGAAGAGCCAAAGGATCGGTAGACTTTAACGCCTGCAGTCCACACTAAGGTCCACATAGTGAATATATTGAATATATTCAAGCCAAAAGATGTTAGGGTTGAGTATAGAACAGATTTCTCTATTTGATTCGATTCTGATTCATTTGGGTGTATTTCCGTTATAATGTCCAATTTGCTTACAGTTCTTTCTTTGCGAATGCTGTGATTATATACAGGTGCATCTCAATAAATTAGAATGTCGTGGAAAAGTTCATTTATTTCAGTAATTCAACTCAAATTGTGAAACCCGTGTATTAAATAAATTCAATGCACACAGACTGAAGTAGTTTAAGTCTTTGGTTCTTTTAATTGTGATGAATTTGGCTCACATTTAACAAAAACCCACCAATTCACTATCTCAACAAATTAGAATACTCCATAAGACCAATAAAAAAAAACATTTTTAATGAATTGTTGGCCTTCTGGAAAGTATGCTCATGTACTGTACATGTACTCAATACTTGGCAGGAGCTCCTTTTGCTTTAATTACTGCCTCAACTCGGCATGGCATGGAGGTGATCAGTTTGTGGCACTACTGAGGTGGTATGGAAGCCCAGGTTTCTTTGACAGTGGCCTTCAGCTCATCTGCATTTTTTGGTCTCTTGTTTCTCATTTTCCTCTTGACAATACCCCATAGATTCTCTATGGGGTTCAGGTCTGGTGAGTTTGCTGGCCAGTCAAGCACACCAACACCATGGTCATTTAACCAACTTTTGGTGCTTTTGGCAGTGTGAGCAGGTGCCAAATCCTGCTGGAAAATGAAATCAGCATCTTCAAAAAGCTGGTCAGCAGAAGGAAGCATGAAGTGCTCCAAAATTTATTGGTAAACGGGTGCAGTGACGCTGGTTTTCAAAAAACACAATGGACCAACACCAGCAGATGACATTGCACCCCAAATCATCACAGACTGTGGAAACTTAACACTGAAGAAGGGTCTGGAATTCCCACCCTAAGGTGTTCTTCGCCATCCTCTGGCTCATGTAGCTCCAGTCAAGTGAACTTGGAAACTGGCTTACCCCTCCGAGATCGCAGAAACATGGAAAGATTGGCCTTGCCTGTCATTAAACTCAATGACTGTCTGATTGGCTCCTCAGACCCAGCGCCTCCACCTCTCCCTGAACGGACATACCGGAACAATTTGGGAGTGGAAAATATAACAAATGTGGAGCTAACACAGGTGAACCTTGCAGATTAGTCTCTAATGACACTGAACATAGAAGAGCCAAAGGATCGGTAGACTTTTATGACGGTTGTCCTCACTAAGGTCCACATAGAGAATATATTGAATATATTCAAGCCAAAAGATGTTAGGGCTGAGTATAGAACAGATTTCTCGATTTGATTAGATTCTGATTCATTTGGATGTATTTCCATTATAAGGTCCTTTTTGGTTACAGTTCTTTCACTGTTATTGCTGTAATTATATAGTGTTTCAGATTCAAGCTAGCTTGTCATTTTGAACCTGCTTATTTGCATGAATCAGGCTTCAAAGGTCGCACTGTATGTTTTTGATTCACCAAAAAGAACCAACTCATAAGAGTCATTTGTTCGTGAATTGCACTACACTGGTAATTTGTGTCTTTTTATCTAGGCAGTTGTTTTGTGTCATCATGTCGCAGTGCAGTCTTTTTATTAAATCACAGTATACGGAACTCACATTCGCAACTCAGGTTAAAGATTATTTGTTTTGCTATGGTGCTAAAAAGAGTAAAAGATCAATCTTGAGATTTTAAGATTCGTTATTGCGATAATTCACAATTAATCGGTTCACAATTAACCAGAAACGCTGTATTTTACCCATCCCCAAATTACATTTTTGTCACTTTAAAATCACTTTAGCATAGGTTAACCCTTAGCCTAGGGTTTTCTGAGAGAAATAGTTGATTTTCATGTAAGTGGATGAGTAACTAGAGATTTGATTTTTAGAGGTTTTGAATGAATCTTACTTTGAATTGTCACTTGATTCCAGTGTCTTTTTCATATAGTTGCTTTGTAAAATGCATATGCAGTGTTGTAGCGTTTGATTGATAGATTGTTACCTGACTTGTGAGAGTTACATAAGGCTTTGTCGATTTTTGTTCATGTGAATGTTAAATAATCAATTATATATGATCCTATTTTTAAATGTGGTGCCACCTACACATGCCCAAAAGAATAGAGACTGCACTATGTGTCATTGTGTTTGTAGTGCTGGCCTTTATAGTTCACATAAATGTCAGAGCGAATATGAAAGGTGGCCACCTGTGAGACACACAGTACAATAGACACGTGTGCACGCAAACAGCTTCTCCTACTCCAATCTTAACAGTTCTGCATCCAATATGCTGAAATTGTTAGAGACTGAAAGACAAGCTTCTATAAGTCACAGCACAAAGTGGTGTGAGTCACATGTAGACATACAGTGGCGACTAATGCTCTATTTTGATTAGTTTGGGTTAACCATGAACTGTGCGATTGCTGCAAAACCAGTACAGCTGTCTGGTACCCAGCAAAAGAGCTTAGTAATGTGGATTAAGTTGCTTTAATAGTTCACTATACACTAAAGGGGTGAAGGATGGTCTGGTTAGTATGGTCTAGTGAGCCCCTGCTGGTGGAAGTTGTAACTACAGTATAAAGTTGTTCCTTATTAGTAATTCTGTCTTGTTTTACAGCTAAATATCTAAAAAAATAATAATAATAATAATTCTTAAAACAAGATAAATTAACTTAAGTATAATTGTTTAAAATAAAAATTATTTTCAGAGATTTTGAAGTAAACACCTAAGAATAAACACCTCAGATTTGGCAGTGCATATGACAGCTTTTATTCCTTTTGAATATAATTGAATAGGTATAAGCAGAAAAAAATAAACCAAAATGTAAGCCTGAGATTGAGTTTTTTTCAGTGTACACAAATTAAATGATGCTTTTGATATACTGTTGTACAAGGAAACAACGATTATGAACAATGTTAAATTAGATTGATCAAACTGAAGAAAACTGCAAAAGAGGATTATATTCTATAAAACATGCTAAGCATTTGGTTTTTCAACACATTCACATACTTGAATGTTTCAGCAGTGATTATATGCAAAGTTCAAGCTGTTTAAATTCAGACATATATTAGCTCTCGTGGGCGAAACCAGACTGTTTTTCCATTGTCTTCAATCTGCAAAAGAAGATTTTACAGTCAACATGGGTTCACTGACTTTTCTCTTCAGTTTAAACTCATTCCTTCGAAAGACTTTAGAGACAGGAGTGTGTTAATCTAAAAGGTGGAATGATAAAGCTGTTTGAAATTGGACCCATCCCTATGTTTCTCTCACATCTAGATACTGTGCATTAGTGATTCTCAACCTTTTTGACTCTAAGGCCCCCCTTTGTCCAAGACAATATTCAAAATACCCTCTAATCTAAGCTGATATCCACTGCTGGCTGGTGCTTCTGTTGTAATAAAATTAAATAAACTCATATCATATCATTTTAATGATTTTAAATAAATATATCATTTTAATTTGAATGTTTTTAGTATTTTATGTAGGATTATGTTAATATGACTTATGGGGCCCTCCTGGAAGTTTGTAGGGGCCCCTGGTTGAGAACCACTGCTGTAGATAGCTTGTTAATGTATATAACTTACTAAGCCCATTCTCATGAGTATCTCTTCATTGGCATGCAGGAACTGAGCTTTGGCTGTAGGTGAGTATGACGAGAGACGTCTGTCCCATTCAGTGGGTCCGAAATCTTGCTTGACCTCCATAAAGTCACGCTTAAGTTCAGTAATGCTGGCGTAGTGCTTCAAAATCATCTCATGGGACACATCAAAATCCTAATAAGAGCATATATGAGCAGGATTGATTAGACTAGACAAGCCTTCTTAAATTTTCAACAGAAAAACCAATATAAATTTCACACACCTCCAGCATCAGAATGCTGTGACGAATATAGACGCTCTCTCCTTCACTTCTCCTTATCTAGAAAAAACCAAGACTGTGGATTAATATGCTCTGGATAAGAAGGAACATGAAAAAAATTTCAGAAACGAATGAGTGTTTCACCTTCCTCATAAGCACCGGCTCGATCTCAGACTGCTAAGAGAGAGAAAGATGATTTTAGAGGATTGAAACTTTGACATGTTGCTCTTGTGTATGTGCCGTTTGTAGTATGTGTGTGTTTGTAACCTCAGACTCCAGTGTGATGTTCCATATGTATTTTGTCTTCTCCTGATAGGTTTTTGTAATGGACACAGGTTGTGCAGTCGGAGTGGAAGTCAGTGGTTGGTCAGTTGGGATCTGCGGGCGGGGTTTGGGCGGAGCCACTGGGGAAATAACAGGTGTGGGTCGAAGAGTTGGAACTAGAGACATAGAAAGAAAAGTTCAGGAAGACATGTTAACAGATGGACTGACATTAGAGAGTATTCATTTCTGATGTCTTTTGTGAATCATACCATAATCTTTAGGGGAATCGCCCATAAGGATAAACCAGTTATCCTCCACTTCTGTCCGCAGTTGTACTGTTTTTTTCTCTGGTATCACTGTTTTTTTTGTTCTTTCCTCTATTTGTATCTGCTTCCTCCTCTCTTCTTCCCTTCTCCTCTTCTCTTCCTCAGCCCTCCTGTCCACTTTAAGGACATCTGCAACAACTTTATTAAATAGAGTTGAGAATAAGAATTTATTGACAAAGACTGCCAATTTTGCGATAATATAATCTATCCCAGTTAGATGTTGTTACTGTTTTCAACATTGATAAAAAGTAAGAAATGTTTTTTGAGCATCAAAATAGCATATTGGAATGATTTCTGAAGGATCATGTGACACTCAAGACTGGAGTAATGATGCTGAAAATTCAAATTACATTTTTAAATTATATTAAAATAGTAAAAAAATTTAATTGTAGTATTCCACATTATTAATGTTTTTACTGTACATTTGACCTTAGTGGGCATTAAAATAATCTTACTGACCCCAAACCTTTGAACAGTAGTGCATATTTAAAAATATATAAATATATAAAATGTGTATGTACTTATTTCTTTTGGTGAAACATCAAAAAGAATGAACCAGTCGTCATCTTTTTCAATCTGAGGCTGTGTTTCTGTTTTCACAGTAATAGCTGGTTGCGCTCTTCTGGCTTCCAGCTCTTGTTTTCGCTTCTCCTGTTCTCTTAGTCTCTTCTCCTCCTCCTCCCTCACTCTCATCTGCTGCAGTCTCATTCTTCTGTCTTCCTGTTCTTTCATCCTGTGCTCTTCAGTAGCCAATGAAACTATAGATAAAACATATAAGGGTTTTACTAATTATAATATGTCTCTCACCTGAAGCAATGCCAGGATAGAATAGAGAATAAAACATGCAGCTATTCTAATGACCTGAAGGGACGCTCCTCATCTCAGGAGGTGCTGTGTCCAAAAGATCAAACCAGTCATCATCAACCTCCTGAACCCCGACAGGAATCATCTCAAAATCTCTGCTTCTGACATCTGAAAGAAGCACAGGAAACAGTGGGGTTTGCTGTTTTCCATCACGAGAAGCTTGTGAAATTATTTGTGCCATAAATTCATTAAAAAATTTAAAACTTGCTTTTATGAGAAGCATGCACTAATTAATCTTGATAGTAGTCTTGGGTAAAAACATTTTTTAAAATTATAATAATGTTTTATGTAATGAAATCATCAAATAATGTCAATGTTTAATGTTGCAAATGTATTGATAAGTCTTTTTTTTAAAGTCAGTTTTCTTCTAGCCATTTTACACATTTTTGTTTTGTTTGTTTGTTATTTGTTTGCTATTGTATTCTTGTTCCTATATGTATGTGATAGAGTCCGTTATGTGTGTTACTTGTACCTGATGGGAAACTCTTCTGCTCATACGGCACTTTGTCATAAAGCTGAAACCAGTCGTCATCGATGTCTCTGGCCACGACTAGAAACTGTGGGGTTTGTATGATACTCGTCCTCTTCTTCTCTGGTACTATTATTTGTTCTTTAGCGCTCACGGTCGTCACCTCAATCACTTGCTCCCCTTTTCTCACTCTGCTCTGAATCACCTCCTCCCTGGTCTCCTCATACAGCTCAACAGTTGGATCTTGCAGTTGTGGGGATGAGGGCACTGAAACAAACACAATGTATGATGAATATTTTGATTTGTGTATAACTGCTATAAATATTTAATAATATACTTACATTTTCAAGTTTTTCCAGAAACATATTGAGTTTTAATTCATTTTAATTCATTTTAATTCAAACATTCATAAAATTTCATTTTTATGGATTCTGAATTCTGAAGGATAATCAGAATTCACTTAAGACTGGAGTAATGGCTGCTGAAAATTCAGCTTTGACATCACAGGAATAATTTACATTTCAAAATATATTAAAATAGAAATCAGTTATTTTAAATTGTAATAAAAATTTAAAATATTACTATTTTTACTGTATACTTAAATAAATGCAGCTTGTTGAGCATAAGAGACTTATTTTAAAAAAACAAATATATATAGCACAACATATTTTAATGTAAATATTTGTATACGGTTATCTATAAACAACATGGTGGACATTTAGTGATACTGAATGTCAAAAACAAAATCTTTAGATTGCTATGCTCATTGTTTTGACAGTATATTTGACTCATTGAGAAATAAGTCTTCGTATCAGGAAAAATAGGCATAATTATATATGTTAGTCTAATAAATATGGCTGTTTCTTTCAGTTCAGTAAATTTCTCTTTCCGCCACTTAATTTCAACTTCCTGTGAAGCATGGCCAGTTCAGTTACAATAGTGTTTGTACCTGATCCTTTAGGAGAAACATCAAAAATAATGAACCAGTCATCCTCCACATCTCTTTGAGGTTGTGTTGACTTCTGCTCCAGAATAACTGTCTGTGGTCTCCCATAATCCACCTGCTCCTGTTGTTTTATTTGCTCTATTCTCACTCTTCCCTGGATCTCCTCCTCTCGGGTCTCCTCGTACATCTCAACAGAGGGCACTGAAACAAACACAGTCCATCATATACCGATTTGTGTGTTTTACACGAGTGCATGATTATGGTTGTGTGTGTGCATGTGTACCTGATCTTTTAGGAGAACCATCCAAAGCGACAAACCAGTCATCCTCTTTGTCTATTTGAGGCTCTGCTGCTCTCTGCTCAAGAACAGCTGGCTGTGGTCTCCTATAATCCTCTGTCACCTGCTCGTGTTGTTCTTTCTGGACCTCCTCTGTTTTCACTCTGCTCTGAATCACCTCCTCTCTAGTCTGTGTTTTTGTCTTCTCTGGTGGCACCAGCTCTTGCTGTATTTTTCTCTCGACCTCTCTCTTCTCTTCTTCAGCCTGATCTTCTTCAGGAACGAATCTGCTCACATCTGGTAACAGAAACCCATTTTAGTGGTTGACATTTGTTGAGAAGTATTTTAAAATCCTATTTATTTATTCTGGTGTTATAATAAAGGGCGGCCAGGAAAAACACACTTGCTTAGCTACTCACAGGTAAACAGGTGCAACTTAATACTGTAAGTAATACTGTAGACAGTCACTCCAAATAAATATGAGAACATGAAATATTAATTTCAACTTTATTTTTAAAATTAATTATTTTGTTATAAGGTCACTTAAAATAAAAGTTGTTATATTTTTCAGAGCCTTATAAATGTTAAAAATAATGGCTTTTAATTATACTGTAATGTTGAATGGCTATAATTAATGGCTAAAATTGAGGTGAAAATGCATTTAATAGAGACATCAGTAGCAGTATTGGTATATCAAAAATATGGCCTTTTTTTAATAATAGGCTACTTAGTAAAGAGATGCCATTAAACACATAGGCTAAGTAAAATATGCCATTATTATGTTTACATATTATATATGTTTGTATATTTTTTTAATCGATTGACAGACAGCACTGATGTCAACCTTTTATTGATGTTGGTGTTGGTAATATTAGTTCATTTTACTGCTGAATATGCATTTAAATTTAATTTGTAATTTTATAGGCCCCCCAGAAAGAAATCTGTATGACCCCCCACCCCCTTGGCCCCCTTCAAATTTTCAATTTGATAATCCAGCCCTCAAATGAAACTAATTGAATATAGCCCAGTTTTAGTTGGACAATGGTAAATATGATATATGATATCTGACAGCTAGATGGTGCAATGGACCAATCAGAATACAGTATTTCAGAGAGCTGGTTAATTAAACGTAAAAGTATACCTGGAAGGGGGTACGATATTTCCATGGTTTGTGGAAGCACATCAAATAGAATGTACCAATCGTCATATTTCTTCATTGGTTTGGGGTTATATACTATCTGTTGCAAATTTTCTTTAACTCCTCCTGATAAAATGTGATATATGACATTCTCAGTTTTCACCTGAGGCATTTCGATTAACTTTGAAATTTAAAGCATTTCAAGCATTTGATGAAAAGCTGTGAACACAATTTCTGGTGACAGATGCACAGCTGTTCACATGACATACCTGTGCGGGTAGCTGAAGGCATCAATGACATGCGATCAAGTAAAATGTACCAATCATCTGTCTCTGCTCGTTGAAGCTCCTCCTTCTCAACTTGCTGCAACCTTTGTTCCAAACTTTCCACATCCTGTAATCCAAACCTCAGCTCTTCCACCTCAACTAGCTTTCGCTCGATAGTGTCCACCTCTTCTAGTCTCTGTTCCATGATTTTCATTCTCTCGAAAGTGTCCTCAGATCCCAGTGTCTTCTTTTCGGTGATCATTACACGTCTTTCCAACATCTCCACCCTCTCTATCTTTTTGTTTACATCTTCTTGTGATTCCACCAAAGAGTTGACCTCCTGTGTCCACTTTTTAGTGATTACTACCCTTTGTATTCTTTCTCTATTGACTTCTAGTACTTCTTCTTTGGGTGTCTCCTTTAGAGGTTTCATAATTTCCGAAGTTTCACTTTTCATGATTTCATGAAGTTCTTTCTCAATAATGTCAGACCCCTCCTGGATGACCTGAACTTTATATGTTTGTGTTATCACATGCTCATCTGTGAGCCTCTCCTCTGACCCCTTCACAACTTCCACATCTTCTCTCTGTTCTTCAGTCTGAAGGGGCTGCTGGATGCCTGATACTAAAACTGGAACAAAATAAAGCAAAATTACCATCAATCACAGCTTTTCCCTTCAGGCAATGTCAAGTTTAAATGGAAACTAAAATATTTATTTATGCACATCAGTCCAGTGGGACTTGGACATTTCTTCATGAATGTTTTGGAAAATGTCAGCGCAGCTTGCCCTTTTATCCTTATGTCAACAAATTTGGTTGATTACCAGTGTTGGCTTGACTTTTTGGTATGTGGTGAAAGTGAGAAAGCCTAAGTTAGGTTCAAGCTCCAGAAAAAATTTTTAGAATTGACAGTTATCAAATATGTGTCTATCTATCTATCTATCTATCTATCTATCAGAGTCTGTGCATGTTTAGTTGGCCATGGATGTGTGGCACCTACGGCACTGAATGAAGCCCTTCTATAATGTCCACAGTGGTCTTTTGGGAGTGTTAAAAAGACTTACATGGGCTGCCGTCAAGGAGGACACACCAATCATCCGCATGATGCTTCCACTCCTGCAGCTTCTCACTTTCTAGCATCACATCATCTGTACAGGATGTTTTCAGTTCATCAGAAAATATTTTTCAATATTTTCAAAAAGAAAGAGAAGGGAAAAGACTAGACCAAAAAAATGTATAATGCAAATGACTATGTATATGTTTTAAACACATGAATTATTAATTAAAATAAATTCATTTAATATGTGTTTGGCATGAGATCAAATGTATTTGTTGTTCATTTATATTATTATTTTAATTATTTGAATATGCCTTACCTGATGTAGAAATGCGCCATTTATCTGGACCATAGACCAGGAACCAGTCATCCAACTCTGTTCGAATTGGTTGTTTTAAAACATCCAGAATTTCTTCATTTCCTGAAAAGAGATATATCATATTTACCTTTGTCCAACTAAAACAACTACTTGCATGTTTGCAAACAAACATTTAATTAGTCAATCACATGTATCCACAAAAAATACATCAATAAAAAGCGAATTATCTAAAAACAAATAAAAAAAAAACGAAATAAAAAGAAATAAACCTACTAAATTAAATATCTAACCAAACTAAAGCATGAATCAATCGATCAATCAATCAATCAATCAATCAATAGTTGCCTTTTCTCTTGATGATAAAGCGTGTGAATCGTGGAGGGGCCCGAGTGATGTTGCCGCTGGCTTCCAGACACTCAGACTGAGTGCATCCATGGTAACGGAACCTTGAACCCAAGGTCAGCAGCCTTTTTGTTTTTTTGTCTTGAATTCTGTTTCTGAGAAACACATACAGAAGTATGGTCTTATGACTTGAAACTTCCCATAGATGTTCAATGAGCATGTTTTTACTATAGAATACTGTATTTGCATATATTTGACTGGAGCGCCCCCTTGTGTTTCTAATGGTCATATGGATACAAAACATAGCAGCGGCGCTTTTATTATGCCACAGTCGACCGCTTCCGCTGCTTCCGGTCGTGCGTATGTGGGGTAAAGCAGCGGAGCTTTTATTATGCCACAGTCGACGGCTTCCGCTCCTTCCAGTCGTGCGTATGTGGGGAAAAAAGCAGAGCTGTTTTATCATACAAGATACATTTGAAAGTTCTGTTATAATGCTACTCTGTGCGGTCGGCACCGGTCTATTAAAACGCACAACATATTAAAGCGTCTTTGGTGTTTCCATGTTTTCTACAAAACAAAACCGGAAATCGAGGGGTTATGACGTCATTGGCAGGCGACACAATGACACTATGGAAACGGTCCGTGTCACTAGTTAAAATTGCTTATTTCTCTGGATTTAAACATTCTTCGAAACATTTGGGATAATGTAAGTACACAAGTCAGCAAAATATATAACACTGTTCTAGTGGTTTTTGGATATTTTAATTAAAAAAATCTTACATATTGTGCCTTTAAGCCTTGGTTGTGTAATACACATACATACACGGACTTACCTGAAGAAACTATGATGTTCCACACAGCATTTCCACAGTTGTTTGCAGGCTCGGTAGTTGGCCAAACTGAAGCTGATGGCACCCTCAAACTCATCCTGCTAAATCAGGTCACATGGAAAAATGTAACCCACATAAACACAACAAAACTCCTGAGTTTGTCACTACACCAGATGAGTAAAAGGAACGCATAATCTAACATTAACATATGGAGAAAATAAAGAAATGGGTTATGGAGAATGGTTATGGAAAATGAGTGTGCAACCTCAGAAGGGCGCATCTTCAGAAGAAAGGTGCTGCGTTTGTGGGAGATTTTAAGAACTCTGGGCCAGAGGAATATATTTGTTTTAATTTCATCCTCATATACCATCAGTCCTTCAGAGCAAACGCCGAGCATCACATCTGCATCGTTGACATCCTATGAACAGATCAAACATTATACTAAAGATGTGCACTGTTCATGTCATGTTAAAGGAATAGTTCATCCAAAAATGAAAATTCTGTCATCATTTATTTAACTTTATGTCGTTTCAAGCCCACTTTCTTTCATCTTTGGAACAAAAAGAAGACAGAAAGTTGCACATGTTTGGAAAAAGAAGGTGAGTAAATGTCCAATGTTGTTTTGGACCCTACTGACTTTAATTGTATGAACAAAAATAGTCTTCAAATTATCATCTTTTGTGTTCCAGAGACGAAATAAGTCATACAGGCTTGAAAAGACATTTAGAGGTAAATAAATGATGACAGAATTTTCATTTTTGGGATGAAATACTATGAAGACATTCCAAATATATTCCAAATTTGAGTTTACTAAATAAAGTTACTTTGGCAGGATGCAGGTCTACTCCATACATGGGGAGCCCCATGGCGTTCTCAAGGAAAAGCTTATCTGCTTGAGCAGGATTCATGAATCTGTGCAATAAAATAAATTATACAAATGTGTTAGAGGACATATGTGTGAGTTTGATTGTTGGTACAGGATACCTGTATGTGGAATGCAGCTCCATTATTCTCTCCCCCAACTCTTCACTCTGATTGGGTGCAAGAACAATTTCACTGACATAGTTGTTCTTGTGGAGATTTGGGTCATAATCGCCAATTGTTGACTGAACTGTGTATGAACCCAGCAGAGCCAGGATGTCTGGTGGACAGGGCAGTCGGCCAATCAGAATATCTTTCCTCAGCTGAAGACACAGGAGATATCTGAGAGAATTACACAGAATAGTGAGTGTTCAGTCAACACAGAAAGAAAAACATGCACAAACATATCAACATAACTACTCTGTATATACACAACTTATGTTCAAACAGTCTCAAGGAGTTCGGTGTATTTGTATGTTTAATAATAATAATAATAATAAAATAATAATGATACTTTGAATCTAAATTTACATATAGAGCCTTTCAGGATTTCAAGGTTGCTTCACAAACACTTTAAAAAAATGCTAATCCAAGCAAAAACAAATAATACAGAGACAGAACAAGGACAACTCTGAAGTGGGAAATGCAACAGAGTGAGGAAACATTAGAAAATAGTGTAAATAAGTCAGATTTCAGTTAAGTTTTGAATATCTGGATAGTTTGTGTGTCTTATTGTACCTTGTGATGTCTTCAGCTAGAATGGAGGGATCAGGTGGGTAAAACTTGATGTTGACAAAGAATTCCGTTACTGGACCTGAAACCAACATACAGGGAACAGATGCAGAGATGAAAATGCAAGAATCTTTACCATCCACTCAAACAAACATACTTTTTATCTGTTTTCGGATCTCTTTGGCACAGTCCAGCCATACCTGAAATAAACACAGAATAATAATACTTAAAAAAAATAAAATAAATAAATAAGTAGTTTTAATTGATCAAATATTTAATATAATAGAATCTTTATATGTAAGCCTGAAAAAAAAATAAAAATACCCGGGTACTAGGAGAATCCCACATGACCAGACCATAATAATCCCTCTCCAACAGGTCAAGGTGTTCACAAACTTTATTAAAGAGATCCTGTCCCAGTGCATTTCTCTGTGGAAGAAAAAAAAAGAATTTTATTGTTAATATCTGTATTTTTAATGTCTTTTAATCGTTTACAGTAGAAATATCTAAACATTCTTAAAACAAAACAAATGTACTTATCTGAGTAAGATAAGACTGGTTTCCAGTCAATATACCTTATTATTTATTTATTAATTTACGTATAGTTTTGTTTTTGGTTTTAAGCATGAATCTCATTAATTGATAGATTTCTACTTAGAAAATATTTGCTAGTTGAGTAAGAAAAATAAACTTAATTCATTATTAAGACATTATTTTAGGATATTATAAGATATATTATTATAATATCATTATACAGAGAGAAGGTCTTTGTACCTCCAGCGCCCACACAAAGTAGGTGTCGTCCAGGAAATTCACTCGGCACTGCAACATGTCTCTCAAACCTTTCTCTTCTCTTCTATTTATTCCTCTGGTGGTGGAATTCAGTCAGTCTCATGCTTTCCCCCACTTTATATATCAGGGAATGAGCTGCAAAAGTTCAATTCTCTTCAGAACGGCAGTTTAGTTCACATTCATGTTACTGCGGTTCTATACTGTAGCAGCACATGTCTGTATGCGGCATCATAAAAGGCCCTGCCCTCCTGCACTGTCCCGTTTTGTGATAGTGCGTTTTAGAAAGATATGACCCCTTCCCCCCAGCTCACATACAAATAGACATGCCTGTTTACAGCAATGAGTGAGGGGGTCAGTCATCACATGATACACATGAATGTATTTGTCCATCATGACTGGAGAAAGAGGAGGCAAAGAGGAATCACTTCAGTAAAAATGGATCATTTACAGTTTTTAATATGATGTTACCCGCTCTCTTCTTACTGAGATAAACTGATAAGAATGGGTGGGGAACCGAAAATCTTCATGCAACTCTTCCCTCACGCAACATCTTATGACAAAATATGGGCACAGTGATACTGTTAACATGATATTGTGATGTGTGTGGTGTTTGGAATACCGTACTGACAACTAATTAATGAGACTGAACACCGTACTGACAACTAATTAATGAGATTGATTGGGGAACGAGGAGCACTGGGTGTGATCTGTGTATTCAGAGACTGGGGTGAGAAGGTTTAAAAAGAGTGCAAAAGAGAATGGATGCGGGCTGGCTGAGAAAAAAACAGCATTTCAGGCGGTCGCACACCGGATGAGAAGCGCAGCGTAGCGTCGCGCCACGTCTTTAAAATTCAAATACATTATTTTCTATGAGTGTAGGCACACCGGTGGCGCCGTTCGGCGCCGGTGTGTCTTACAAGTACAACACGACGTAGCTGGGCGCCGCGGAGGCACACCGAACGGCGCCGCCGGTGTGCCTACACTCATAGAAAATAAAGTATTTGAATTTTAAAGATGTGGTGCGATGCGACGCTGCGCTTTTCGTCCGGAGTGCGACCGCCTGAAACGCTGTTTTTTTCACCTCCGTGCCCCAACGTCTTTGTTTGGGCTTCCGAAAGCGGATGCTGTCAGGAAACAGTGGTTGCAATTTATTTTTTTAACTCTGTTCCTGAGCATTATAACCCCAATTTGCTATTGTGTGCTGCGCATTTTACTGAGGACAGCTTCCACAACAAGAGGGAGGACAGTGCCTGTCGGATTCACCAAAAGTTATGTTGAAAGACGGAGCAAAGGGCGTGGCAGTACGGAAACACCGTCTAAGCTGTTCGCCAATCATAACGCACTGTGACAGCTAACCAATCACAACACATTTTGTTTTTCGGAAGGCGGACCTTCATCAAAGCCGGAACTAATCGAGCCGTTTGTGCCAGGATGGGGAGAAAGGTATTTTAATAATGTAAATTATGTGAAAAATAATGCGTTTTTCGAACCACCAAGCATGAGAGCATGTTCTAGTACACCCCCAAAACAAAATCAAGACTTTGTAAAAGAGCATAATAGGACCCCTTTAAGATTTGTACTTTACATTTTTCTTTCAAGTTTCAAATAACTACTTATTATTTCCTTTGCATAATCCATATTAAACAACTCTGTAGGGAAAAATAATGGTAGATAAAACTTAATGGAAGATAAAAATAATGGAAGATTTGAATGATTGATTTACCTGTAAATGTGAGGTGTTTATTGGCCTTCTTCTCATGTAGAAGCTCTCACAAACTATCTGTGACAAGGGTGGAGGATCAACACAAATTCCCATGACGTTAGTACAGAGATGAATTGTGAAGATGAAACCAGACCCAGTATCTTAAACAAAACTGAAAACACTATTTTGAACCACCACATTTCCTCCAATAACACAGCTAACAACCTTTTTATTTTTTAGTAGCTAACTTCAAAGTGAAGAGCTACAGCCTCCACAGACACAGATATATTCCTACCACATGTTTACGGATATGAGGGACACTTGAGTCTAAATATGGGACTGTGCAAGCTTTTCCATCAATTTATCCATTCTCTAAACCTCTACTCCTATGTAAGGTCATGGGGAGGCTGGGGCCTTTCTTCTATTTAACATTATATATACGTGCAATTTGATATTACTATTAAATGTGTGTATCTTGGGCAAATGAATACCAGAGCAGTCTTCTGTCTGTTATCTCTCTCAGTGCAGAGGAAAGTATGAGAAACTCAAGATAGATAACACTATAACTGTCATACTTTTACACATGTACAGCCTAAAAGACATTTAAGACCAGCGGCTGGTTGCATAAATTTAGACTGGTCTTACAAGTTAATACTATTTTTTCTTTAAGACTGGGCACATCACTTACTTAATGTAGACAGGATTCATTTGAATCAGAAAAGTAAAACTGATTATCACTTGGATAACTGCTAGTTGGTCGGACTAGTTCTTTAGACAGAGTTTTAACATAGCAGCTGTTTTTGCAACTGTCCAGCTGTCAGATTATTACAAAATGCATTAGGGTCTAATGATAAACTCTGTTAATTAAAGCCAACATGCAAAAGTACCTTTTAGTTTTGAAAATCCCACATGAGTCTGTTTTGTGGTTGAAAAGGTTGTGTTTACTGCAATACTGGCATACTTTTAACACTTCCAACTATTTATTCAAAACATGCACTTTCACAATAATTTGGACATCAGTCTTAGCTAATCTTAATGAGACTGGTGAAATCAGAGATGTTTCTATTATTAACCAATGTAGTGTTCCTTTTTTGACTGGAAGACATTAAACTGAAATGCTGCTGGAGACAGAAAAAAAAAAACACATTCAGTCTGATAAGTAATTTTTATTGTTATTATTTCATTAAATGTTTCATTAAACTATCACCCCCGCTAATATCAAAAGCTGTACTGTATAATTGTAATTAAACATACCTGCCACAATTAAATGGCAAATAAAAATGGAAAACAATTGTCTTTAAACAAAAAAGATAATGGCTGAAATTGAGTTGTTCTGGTCCAACTCTTATGTTGACCCCTATCATTCAACAATAGTATGGTTAAGTATAAGATTTTAAGTGGATTGATATAAAAGACATTCTCTACTGAACGATCAATAGTGTTTTAGCAGCAGTAAAGCCATTTACATTGTGGAGGACAAGGAAAAAAATACCTTCACCCTGACATAGCAAATCACACAAACATAATATGAAAAAAAAAAAAAACATGAATCATGACATATGTTTTAGTATAATATATCAGAATATGCCGTTCACCTCCTTTGAATTTCCATTTCTTTCTTTCCCATTCTCATTTAAAGGAATTTTCCATGTCCAGTACAAGTTATTCACAAACAACAGCATTTGTGGCATGACGTTAATTACCAGAAAAAAATATTTCAATTTGTCCCTTGTTTTCTTAAAAAAAAAAGAAGAAGCAAAAATAAAGGATCACGGTTATGGTGCTGCACTTGAAATGAAAGCACTTACATTCATTCTTCTTTTAAAACTTTTTTGATCTGTAACAGTTTAAATTACACTTGTTTAAGGGTTTATGGCATTACAGTGTCATGGTTGACGTCCTGTTTGAAATGCTGTTGACTGAGATTAACTTCTACTGAATCCGAAATGTTCCTTGAATTCTGTTCAAACTAAGTAGCAACTTTAGTGAAGGTTTTAGACTCTTCAGTCTCACTCATTCTTCTTTTAAAACTTTTTTGATCTGTAACAGTTTAAATTACACTTGTTTAAGGGTTTATGGCATTACAGTGTCATGGTTGACGTCCTGTTTGAAATGCTGTTGACTGAGATTAACTTCTACTGAATCGAAATGTTCCTTGAATTCTGTTCAAACTAAGTAGCAACTTTAGTGAAGGTTTTAGACTCTTCAGTCTCATCAGGCTTAGATGTTAAAGAAACAAAGCATATTTACTTATTGTTTGTGTATGGTCACTTTAGCAGGCAAGATAGTGATGGGTGTACTCTGGAGCCCTGGGCCAAAGATGGGGAACAGCTTTCCAGTGAACTTATCATTATATGTACATAGGTGCTTGTTGTTGCCTGTATCCCAGAAGGACACCTCTCCCTTTTCCATATTGACCTTTACCCTGATGGTTTCAGGCCTTCTCTCTAGATTTAGCTCAGTGCGTGGAGTGGTCAGTGCACTGACTTTAGCAGGCAAGATAGTGATGGGTGTACTCTGGAGCCCTGGGCCAAAGATGGGGAACAGCTTTCCAGTGAACTTATCATTATATGTACATAGGTGCTTGTTGTTGCCTGTATCCCAGAAGGACACCTCTCCCTTCTCCATATTGACCTTTACCCTGATGGTTTCAGGCCTTCTCTCTAGATTCAGCTCAGTGCGTGGAGTGGTCAGTGCACTGTAGACTCCTTTACTCAGACCGATGGTCCACACTCCGGCTGTTGTTGTTACAGTGAACTTCCTCTTCCGAACCACTGACTCCTTGCATACACCCAAGATCCATTTGGGGTGGTCAGCCACACGGACCTCCCAACGGTGGCGCCCTGAGGAGAAACCCTCTGAGCCAAGGACAAAAACACAGGGATCAAACCTCTCAGGGTTGTCTGGGAAGGTCTGTCTTTCCAAACTCTGTTGCACACTGGAAAAATCAGGAGATATGGAGAGCCAGGGCGAGACCGTGTTGGGATCCAGGATTACAGGCACTGCAGACAAAACAATGTTACAGTGACTCACAAAGTTAATCTTACACACATTTTAGACGAGGTGAAAAGTGCACTCACAACATGTGACATGAGACAGCATCTTTTCCCAGACTTTGTAACCCAAAGCGCCTACATGCAAGGCCATGTTGATGAGAGCTCCTTGAATCTTCTTTGGTTCCTCACCAGTCCACTGGGTTCTGTGACAGACATCAAGAGATCATCTTTACCTTACGTTCAACCTCTTACACACAGCTAAATTACAGTCACAACAAAACAGAAGTATTGACAGATCTAGTCTCCCCTATTGCTACATACATCCGAAACAATTTATTGAAAAATAAAAATATGCAGGATGGGGACTTGGTTCGATGCATCAGTTGTTTGGATTTTCAGACGTGGGTGTTGCGTTCAAAAGTACAGATGGATGAACATGAGCTTTTGGAGAAGTTCTGCATTCATAGAGAAGTCTGTCATTTTCACCGTAAGGTCCAGTTATGCCATTTTAAGAAAACATTATGAGGTAAAAAAAACAACAACCCACATGCACGGATAAACTGTTCACATTAAAGGTGCGGTCACATTTACTGTTGTTTGCCGAATTTTTCATGGGTGAAATCCAGTTTCAATAGGAATCTACGCTACTGGAATTTCTGCATGAGGGCAAAGGATTTCCCCACTCAGATTTTGCAACGGTTTCAAGTTGGTCATGCAAATTTGCCATGTTGACCAGCAGAAAGTTGCTTGCTTTGAAAGTGACTTCTTTGTGAACAAATGTACATGGATACTTCTTTGGGTTTATCTAGGCATTGTGTTTTGTGTCATGTTATTATTAAACCTATTTCTCAAAATGGCACGCTTGTGTGCTTTCCCTGAGCAAATGTCATGAATGTGCAGTCGAGCACAACAGACCAACAGCCAAGGTCAGGATTTTGATAAATTATAAATTACATTTTGGTTTGTTTTTAACCAAACCCTATTGTACTGTAAATTTCAAGAGTACTTAAGTAATCAGGGATAATTCTGTGATCAAGTTTGAAGCTGGTCGCTATTCACTACCATGATATGGACAAGCATGAGCAGGACATTTTCATTAATCACTTTCAGTAATTTTCATTTTTGGGTGAACTATCCCTTTAGGATCTATAACATGAATTTAGAATCTAGATGGGGTGAATTTTTATTTCATGTGTACTTTAATATATATTTTAAATATGACTAATCTATAGTGGTATTAAGCAAGCAATTCATAGCAAAGCAGACCTAAGAAACACTTGATAAAATAAAAAGGCACATACCGTCTTTTTAGCCTCTGGAAATTCTATGGAAGAAGAAAAGTTGATTCACAAGAGCTGAATGTGGGACATGTCTGATTTCGTTATCAGTTATGTTAAAGCGTGAGAAAACCTGCCAGTATAAATGTAAAGGGTCAATGACGAGATTTCATGTCAAGTCCTCTTCTACACTTGCCATTTTTAAATCTAGATTGAAGATAGATTTTTATGCATTGGCCATTAAAAATGCAATTCATACATACAATGACTGGAATATTCTGATATTTTTTGTTTGTTTGTTTGGTAAGGCGTGGGGAATAAACAATGACATGACATTAATTTTGAAAGGATTTGGACAAGACAGAATGACCTGACATTTTTAGAGTCAGTGAATTTAAAAACACTCCAAAGAGAAAGGAAAACTTGAAATCGCATCATATGACCCCTTTAAAATGGTTTCTTAAAATACACTTCTAAGAGCTTGGTACATGCGTTTAAAACTAGATTTTTTTTCTCTTTTTTAAAAATTTTTTTTTTTATTATAGACACTTTTTTTGTCATTGACCCACCAGCGATTAGTCTAGACTCTAGAGGTTTCTGCCTGTAATCTACATATTGAAAATAACACTTAAGTCAGATCTGTTAAAAAGTATGGATGCATAAGTGATCCTGTTTACAACTGGTAAACAGAGTATGTTTAATTATTAACACATACAAAAGTTATTAAAAAAAAAATCGTACCTGAAGAAATGTCAAATCCTCCGCTCCCATTTCTCTCTTTACCGACTGAATCAATTCAGCAAGAGCTGTGATATCGTGGCTGATGATATCAATCTTCTCATTCAGCATTTGCTTCTTCTCATTTTCTTCTCTATACAAAGCATTTATTCTAGATGTCTCCTCATCACGTAGGACCTGATGGAGTCTTTCAAACTCCTCTTTGATTTGATTCTCTGCATCCTTAGTCTGGCTCTGTAACAATACGGAGAAGTGGAACAAGCATTAGTTCAAAATTATTAGGATTTCACTGCATTGATGTGTTTGGCTTTCAAAAACGTTTTTGGAGACTGCTTACCTCAATAAAGGAGATTGTGTCTTTATATCTTTTTTTCATCCTTTTGAAGGAGTCCTGCTTACTTTCCAGTATTTTGATTTTCATGTTAAGCTCATCCTATAAAGCATTGCACGTTAGAAGTATTTCCATAAAAAAGTCAGTATTCATTTCAGTAGCTGTAACACGAAGTGGGTTGTTTTTTATACCACAATGTGGAAAAAGCAATGAGCTCTGCTCACCTTGCAGAAAGGCACTCCTTGCTCTATGGGCACCAGCTCGTGTCCTGGATGAAGAGTCACGCAGTCGACGCACACGGGTTCCTCGTCTTTAATGCAGAAGAGCTGGAAGGGCCGCTGGTGCAAGCCACAGATGACCTCATCTACACCAGTACCTTGCCCTCTCCAGTTCCTCTCCTTTTTATAGGTTACGCAGGTGTTTTTTAATGCGCGGTTAGGAATCGGTGTCTCTCCGTCGCAGCATTTTCTGCACAGCGGGCACTGCTGTTTCGACTGGTTCTTCCAGCTGCCCTGCAGGCATTCCTGGCAGAAACTGTGGCTACACGAGAGCAACACGGGTTCCCTAAAAATGTCTTTGCACACAGGACACGTCAAGTCTGACTCTAGAAGAGATGGCCTGTCTGTGATATCCTCGTCACTGTGGTCTGCCATGTCGTTAGCTTGTACTTTCACTTTCACTAAAGAATATTTTCTCGGTAGGGATTAAAATACGTTTAAAAATCGCAAAGCTGTTTAAAACATCGGTCCTCCTGCGTTTAAAAAGTTCAACTTGTTGTTTAGGAAGGAAGCGATTTGTTAAGGACGAGAAGATCTACCTGTTTTCGTCTTATTCCTGGCAACTTCCGCGTATGTGAAAGTGGGCGGGATAGATACCAGAAAATAAAATAAAAGTGCAAACAGTCAAACAAGTTTGTCTGCCTTTTCGTCCAGACCTGTTTTGCCATATCTCCACAGCTGACCCTCAGAGGCAGGTTGACTTAAAAGGGACCTTTTTTAAAGCACGGTTATCTAAAAAATGTCTTAAATAAAACAGTTTTATTTGGGCATGCAGGATATGGAAGATATGGAGGACTAAACCTGAAATAAATAATAATAATAAATAAATAAATACACATGTTCGTGCATAAATATATAAATCATTAAATCGGGCAAACAACAGTAAATAAATAAATAAATTTGATTATAATTGTGCAATGACAGTTTTCAAGTAAATTATTTATTTATTTATTTATTTTGCAAGCAACACGTTGTCTATGGAGTAATTTAATTTACTTTAATAAATAAATTAAATAATATATAATTAAATGAAATTTAAGCATAAATAAATAATGAATTATTCAACTATTTATTTATTTGTATGTGTTTTTACTTAATAAAATGTTGTAATAAGCATAAATAAAAGTAAGTATAAATAAATAAATTGGGAGTGAAATGTATTTAATTCTGTAAAATGAAACATGACCTGTTATACACCTTGAATTTTTTTTAAATAATTTTATTAAATATTCTTTATTTGTCTATTTTTAGCCTGTTAAATCATTCCATAACTCGCCTTAATGTCTATACCAAGCTTGCTGGTGTTACTATTGTTTTGTGTGTGGGGGGCACAGTGTGGAAGCTGGAGGAGCTGAACACGCAGCGCCAGCTGAAGCTTGGGCTCTGATCCTCTGGGGTGGGTGGGCATGACAAAATTTATTTTTAAATTTTTCCCCCCTTCAGTACAGATCCATCACCCATGTGCGCAAGATATACAGTAGGTGGCGGTAATATTCCTAAGGAGTGAACGGCCATTGAACAAAAAGAAGAAGAAGAAGAAGAAGACAACCATCTGGAAGCACACACACACATCCCCAGTTAACAAACTCAAATGCCCTGCACGATTCAAGACGCGTCTTGGATATCAGGGAACAAACGCACAAGGCTGATGTTGTAACAGTTATTGCTTGGATTTAGCAAGACGTTGTAACAGAGAGGACGCGCACGTTATTCTTGATAACATCTAGAGATGTTTTGTAAATAAAGGCATCCTGTGAGCGGAGCTCGAGGCCTTTGATTCCAGCAGCGCACTCACACATCATCTTCCGCGGTGGTCTCGAGCTTTAAACCGCCGCTGGGCTCAGCAGCCGCAGCACAACAATAGCAGCAGCGATACTGGGGCGTTGCTTAACGCGTCTTTTTATTATTATACCTGATACAGGATGTAAGTTACGAAAACCTCTATGCTTTAGAAACATGGAGACCAAGACTCGGGAATTGGTGAGTAAATGAGTGGAGACGGTTTGCTTTTTCCGACAGTTAACGTTAGTGGGATAGACATGGCTAGTCGGTTAGCCTGTTCAGCTAAAGCCAAGGCTCAGTTCTCAGTTTTAAATGTCTCTTTGATTGATACGAGTCAGTAAATGCTGAACTGACAATGGACAGATGCACACTGCTATATGAATTATTGTAATTATGTAGTTTAACAAGGGACCACAGTCGGTTAAATATGATGACAGAACAGCTAACAGTAAAGTAAACCGTTAGCTAGGCATTGCTGTTACAGTGATGCTTGTGTCAGCTAAACCTCTGGACATACTAGTTTAAAAAGACAAATGTCCCTTTTAGCTCTTATGTTGTGTAACTTTGTGTGTGTGTGTGTGTGTGTGTGTGAAATAGTTCAAGAATTTGGGTGTTGAAAGTGATGTTTTTCTTCACAGGATTTGTGCTACTTAGCAGCGTTGGTTATATTGCAGTTTTTCAAAGACGAGTATTTTTCACAAGGGTTTTGTGTGTGTGTGTGTGTGTGTGTGTGTGTGTGTGTGTGAAATAGTTCAAGAATTTGGGTGTTGAAAGTGTTGTTTTTATTCACAGGATTTGTGCTACTTAGCAGCGTTGGTTATATTGCAGTTTTTCAAAGACGAGTATTTTTCACAAGGGTTTTTGCAACCATGCCTTTTGCATCAGATGTTGTCTTTTTGACAAGATAAGGTTAGATAAGAAAGTTTTGTCATTGTACAGGGCAACGAAATTACAGTTTGTACTCCGTGTCAGTGACAAGACAAAATATAAACATAAAACAATAACATTAATGATAGATAATACAAATTATTTATAAAAAACAATCTTATTCTGTTTAACCTTGTAAAGCCTAACATTAAATAATCTATTCATCTACTCTTGTTTTCTTTTTTTAAATGGAAATTTATTTAACCTTTAGACAAAATCCATAAAAAAAATATTTTCAAGTTTTTCATGTCTTGTATCATATTTGATACATCATGCTTTTCTGGCTCATATTGCATGATATAGTGAGAATATGGAGCTTATACTTTTTTCGAGGAGGAGAAACATCAGTTTTATTCAGAGGCTCAAACTGAGCAAAAATATGCAATTGGGTGTAGATGTTGTTATTTATATGGCCAAAAATAGAATTAAATTCTGAGACCTGTAAATCAGAGAAATTTTTTATAACATTATAGCAGACTACTTGCTTAAAATACATACAAATATAATTTGTCACTCTGTATCTCCCAATATGTCTTAGTAAGATTATATTTAAAGGCTTCATTTAGTTTTATGATCAAAACTCTGTTGTTTTAATTCTGGGGGTCAAAACATATAATGCGATGCAATACAGTGATGATTGAGAAATGTATAAATAAACATTATTAACGAAAAGCATATAGAAGGTTGTGCACAACAAGTTTTACAGCAAACTTTTGATCATGTTGATAATTTAGAGGTTTTAGAAATGAATGTATCAAGTATGATACAGTAGGCTTTTTAGAATGAGGTTCCATTTGCTTTGTCATCAAAAACTGTTTTTTTTTACAAAGCATTTGTGTTTGTCTACTGTTATTGTTGTTATTACTCTGAACTTTCTGCAACACATTTTACAGATATCCAGGTAAACAATTAGTTTTTATTAATAATGAGTTCTCACCATCTTTCTAAAACTCTCAATATTATGACAAAGTACTAAGATGAAACCTGTAGATGACAATTGATTAATTCACGTTTATATAAATATATCTAAATGTTTTAGAAAACTCATTGAAAAAAATCTAAACATTCTGTTAGTTTACCTGGATATCTGTAAAATGAGAGCATTAACTTATAAAACATTAAACTGTGCTGAATGCATGTCAGGGAGGATGACACCACAAATAAAACAAAGGCAATAACATAAATACAGTCAAACAATTTTTTTTATGTATTATAGGGTGAATGTATATGCTTTCTTTGTTTGTGTTATTTGTGGATAATTCCACAATTATTGTTTTTTTCTTTTTCTCTTTAGGTCTCCATACTGTGAGCAAGTCCAACCACCCTCCAGTAGTTTCTCCATCTTTTTCTCAATTTACCCTATGTGGGTGGAGGACAGGATGACTTCTCACATCCCGACTGTCCTGCTGCCTGTCTTGATGGTTCTGATACCTGCTACCTGGGCAGGAGACTGTAAGGGCCAAAGACAGATTTTGCGGGGTGTCCCAGCATATGTCACAGATGGACCGGGAAACTACTCTGTGAATGGGAACTGCGAGTGGCTTATCAAGGGTAGGTGTCAGAAACTACAAAAACAAAGGGCTGATGAATGAAAGACGCTTCATTAGCATATAGTAGGATTTAAATGAATGACTGTTTTGCTTGTAATTCCAAGCCGACATGAAACGAGAGTATCTTTTTTTAAAAATTAATATTATTGATCTTATTGTGAATAATTTATCCAGACATGCTTCATTTTTACAATTGACTGTAGCCATTGACTTTCTATAGTATTTTTTTCCCCCATACTATGGAAGTCAGTGGCTACTGTCAGCTGTTTGGTAAATGATGTCAGAGTTTTCATGTTTGGGTGAACTATCTCTTTAATTCTTTAGACAAATCAGTATTTGGTATTTCAGTATTTGCTGCTTTAATAACGCGAGAGCTGAATGATATCTTCTGCAGACTCATGATATTAGTAATGATGGCTTGATTAGTAATTATTACTAATACCAATATCAGTAGCTGAGTGACCGTGACCCTTCTCTCAATTTGAATATTTATTACAAATGTCTACCTCTTTAAGGTGATAATGAGACAAGCATTTGTATGTTTTTTTTCTGGTTGTAATGAGAACTCTTCTGTATTCCCTCAGCTCCCAGCAGAAACCATCGCATTGTGCTTAACTTCACGTTTATGGAGACCGAGTGCACCTATGACTATCTGTTTGTCTATGATGGTGATTCCTACCAGAGCCCCCTACTGGCAAGTTTAAGTGGCACCACTCTACCACAACCAATTGAGGCCAAGTCTGGTAAGGTAAGGCAAAAAGTATCAGTTTATACCATATGTTCAGCTCAGCCTATGAGCCTTATTTTTAAGGAATCAAAATGCACTCCCTTTCTTTAATGCTCTAAATTCAATTAAATTGTGAAGATAGGAAATTCTTAGGTTTTTCCATTTCTCTCAGCATGTGTCCGTTTTAATAAGACTATGAGTTATAAGAAACTATGTCAGAGCTCGACTAATAGACTTTTTGCTCACAGTCTGTCCCTATTTTCCCCACAGTCATTATAACTTGTTCATCTTCTGTTGTGGTATTTGCTAGATGTTGCTCCATCTCTTCAGCGACGCCAACTACAACCTGTTGGGCTTCAATGCCACCTACACGTTTTCAGTTTGCCCTGGGGACTGCGGTGGTCACGGGCGCTGTGACGTAGCTACTGCCCGCTGTCAGTGTCATCAAGGGTGGGGAGGAATGGACTGCAGTACCTCTCTCTGCTCCCAGGTCTGCACACAACATGGCCATGGTCATTGTGATAAGGTAGGCAAAAAGGGTTGCTCTTCATCATGCATAAATTAGGTACAAAAAGTTGTTTTGTTGTTTTAATGTCACTTATTGACTCCCTCTTTTGATCACAGAGGGGTGAGCATTGTATCTGCAGCCCTGGCTTTGTGGGACAGAACTGTCAGCTGGGTCTCCGGGACAACAGTGGCGCAGGGCAGTGGTGGGAGGTGAGCCCAGGTGATGTTAAAGCAGTCCCTCGCACCGCCTCTGCTGGGGTTTACCTGGCTTCCACTGGAGCAATGTACATGTTCGGAGGTAAGATAGAGGTTTTTCAGTTAACCTTTCCCATCACTGACTGATCATTAATTATTTATCATGATCTGGAATGTGAGCAGCTATTTGACATGTTTTCATGTATAAAAACCCATTTATACGGTGTGATAAAAATATTAAGCTTAATACTGTATATTATAAGGACAAAGAAATTAAAGAATTGTATTTTATATTATCAATCTATCAATCTGCTAAATAAGTTTGCTCGAATATTATCTGTAAAATATTAACATTTTGTTATTTTGTTTATACAGACACAAAACATTTTTATGTACAAACAATATACAGTTTTTCCACCTTAGAAAAGCAAAAGCAAAATGGAATAGCAATATACATTTTGTAAATGTAAAAAAAAAAACATTACTGAATTAATATCTTATTTATGGGTATTAACTTTAAAAAATACACTTTGTAAAAAGCAAATTTTCCTCTCAATTTTAGACTTATTTCGTAAGATTTTACCAGAAAAGATTTTAGATTTTTTTTTAATCATATGTTAATTTACAGAATCTTGTATAATTTTAACTGCTGTATTTTTGTGTTTGTTTGGTTTTTATTTTGTGTTTATGTTACTCTTGTATTATTCCAGCTCAGTTTTTGCCATGAAGATAGCCTTAGATGCTGACATGGCAATAACAATAAATAACTACTACTACTCCTTTCAATTTTAAAGCCTCAGCTTTAATGTACACTTGTGGAGTGATTTATTTCAACCCTTGGTCTTTATTTACAGGGTTTGATCTGAATAGAGCACTGGAGGACCTTGTTGTTTACAATTTTTCGACCAATAATTGGGAACGGAGATCATATTTATACAGTCCAGTAAGATTCTTCTTCTCTTTTTTTTGTCTTATGCATTTATAATGATATGTTTTCATTTTAATGATCCTCTAAATAATAATATCTTTGTATCAGGCTCCTCGACATTCCCACACAGCAGTAGAATGGCAAGGCAACATGGTCATCTATGGCGGTGAGCTTGCCAACCACTCATTGGCCAGTGATGTCTGGGTGTACCGTGCACAGCAAGATGACTGGCAGCAGCTAGGCCAATCAAACGCTCCAGGGGCACCAAGGCTGGCAAATCATGCAGCAGCAATAGTAGACAACTATCTGTATGTTTTTGGGGGTGAGTAAATTGTATTATTTTTTTAGTGGAGGATATAAAAAGACCAACTTGACCATTATTGTCATTTTGTTAAAAACACATGCAAAGATCATCAGCATCTTCATCTCTTCTTTCCTTTCCTGGCCTCTGTCCCCTAAAATGAATAATTGATTGACCTGTCTTTTCAGGAAGGACAGAGGAGGACATGTTCTCCTCATCACTGTACCGGTTCCGGTTGTGGGATGGAGTGTGGGAAGCAGTTCAGCCTACAGGCGGAAAACCACCTGCTACTGCAGGGCACAGCATGGTCTACCATGCCCCTTCCAAAACACTGCTGGTATACGGAGGACACAGACCTACCACAGCTAGGTATTGTACACTTGTGTGTTGTGTAAGCTGAATATATAGTAAATAGTCGCTACGTGTTTGTTTATATCACTGTAAAATGTAAACCGTTATATCCCAGCTCTTTATAAAAAGTTTGATAAATGAGAATGTCCACATTAATTTGAATTTTTATTGCACTTTTATTTGTATACATACAGTATACTCATGTAGAGCTCTATGTATATACTATATAGCATATCTCAACTGCTTGATTGCTTGTATCATCGCAAAACTGTATTATAGCCCAGCTCTAATCTGCTAAATACGACTGTAAGGCAGGAAGATATTATAAACATTAACATCATGATTTTCTGTAAAACTGCTTTGAAAAACAGTGTGTATTGTGAAAAGCACTATACAGATAAATTTGACTTGACTGACAGCTGGAAATGCTGTTTAAAATTACATTGAATGGTCTTAAAACATATGCAGAAGTTAAGTTGGAAATGTGTTCCTGTAGTGTAGTTTATAAGGAAAAATCACATGAATAAATTTAAGATTGTAATCTGCTACTTGGAATCTGACAGTGTTCATTGGTCTGGCTTTTTTTTTTTTTTTGACGTTTACATTTTTTATCCTGTCTCAACCAGGTTCAGTGTGCGTGTGAATTCAACTGATGCTTTCCATGTTGAGAAACGGTTTTGGACATCCTTCCGTTCACGTTTTCCTGCCAGTGGCCCAAGGGAGAGAGCATTCCACTCTGCCACCATCATCGGCAACTACATGGTGGTGTACGGTAAGTAGCAATCGCATTGACATAATAGCAGAACAACAGCCAACCTCATTGTGTCTGCAGTTTCATTGAGTGAATTTAATGTGAAAACTTCTATAGCGATATTAATTAATGGAGATCTGTTTTTCTGTTAGGAGGGAATGTTCATATCCACTACATGGAAGAGAAGTGCTATGATGAGGAGATCTTTTTCTATCATCTTGGTTGCCATCAGTGGGTGTCTGTTGGAGAGAACCTCAGTCAGCGTAAGTGTATATTTAATGGTCAGAGACAGAGTGAATCTGTTTGATGTGTTTAGAGAGGAGATGAAGTTTAATGATGTATGCAATTGATGACCCATGATTCCCAGAGGATTTGTTGCACGAGTAACAGGAGAGCCTGTAAGAACTCATGTTCAAGATGCTTCAGTCTGACTGGGGCTTATGACCTACTCTTGAGAGGTCATTTGTTGTGTAAATTCCCTTGTGTCTGATGCAGATTTGCTGGCATGCAGCTTTTAAACAGATGAATTGATGAGAAGTAAAACTGCCCTCAGAAAATGTATTTATTTATTTTTGTAAATGTTGTAAAAAGCTGACATAGGTTTGGTACCTCTCATAGTGCCTGTCAGGATTTTTGGCATTACGTTTGGTTTGCAAGACATTTTTCTCAAAGTTGGTATTATTCTATAATGATGCTTCAGTTCAGCCCTCTAGAATATTGTGCATTTCACTGAGGGATTCTTCTAACTCTTCTAACTGTACTACAGCATTTTATTGTTTCTGTGCTTTTTCAATCAGTTATTTACATCATTACCAGGATCTACAGGAATGTTCCAAGTTTAGCTCAATTTTTTCGACCTACCTTTCTTAAAAAAAAATTCAGGGTTGAAATGAGGCAATTACAGTGGAAGTGAATGACGTCAGTTAAAATATACAGTGCTTCAAAAGTGTAGCCACAAGACATAAATATTATATATGTACATGTAAAGTTACAGTAGCCCTCAGTAGTGGATGTGGAGCTTTTTAAATTATTTGTGCATATTATTTGTTCTCTGAAATTTTTTCTGTGCTCTTATAGGAGGTGGGTCAGTGAGGGGCCGATATTCCCATGTTGCTGCTGTCATGGAGGGACGAGTGCTGCTAGTTGCTGGCGGTTACTGTGGGGTTGCCCGTGGTGACCTTGTGGCGTATAAAGTACCGCTGTTTGTAAGCAGTGACCCAGGAGACAGGGTAATAACTTTAGATAATGCTTTTTCCACACAAGTTTTTTTGTTTTGTTTTTGAAACAAGTCTCTTATGCTCACCAAGGATGTATTTATTTCATCAAAAATACAAACAGTAATATTGTGAGATATTATTACAGTTTAAAATAACTGTTTTCTATTTTAAAATGTAATTTAGTCTTGTCACGGAAAAGCTAAATTTTCAGCAGCCATTACTCCAGTCTTCAGTATTACATGTTTCTTCAGAAATCATTCTAATATGCTGATTTGGTGCTCAAACTTTTATCATCAATGTTGAAAACTGCTTAATATTTTTGTGGAAACCATTATGCATTTTTTTCAGGATTCTTTGATGAATAGAAAGTTCTAAAGAACAGCATTTATTTGAAACAGGAATCTTTTGTAACATTATGGTTTTACTGTCACTTTTAATCAATCGTCCTTTCTGAATAAAAGTATTAAAAATCATACTGTGTATGTGTGTGTGTTTTTCTAACAGGACACAGTATGCGCTGAAGCTCCAGATGAAAGCTTGTGCCTCAAGAATCCAGAGTGCAGTTGGTGTGAGGGTCGCTGCCGGGAGTACCAGCCCACCAACCCGGTAAATCTTCCCCAGTCTCCTTCATTTGCATTTTGCTCGCTCTTGATCACTAATGCCTCTCTGATGCTAGCTCTCTTTTTCACTTGTGTCCCTCCGTCCATCATCTGATTTGTGTGTGTACAGTGTGGCAGCACGGGATGTCTGGGCCTGGCTCGTTTTTTGTCGGACTGCCAGTCGTGTCTGGTGTTCAGTGGGGTGCCAAACTCTCTGCCACGAGTTTCTGGGGTATTCGGCTGGTGTGTGCAGAATGAGTCCTGCTTGCCTGTTTCAGGTAAAGAGAGAGGAGAGAGCAGACTGTAACATGATAGTTAAAACGACTTAGATATGTGACCACACACTGCTCAGTAATTCTTTATTTCTAGACACTTTTACAGTCGGTGAAATAACGTGTTACTGAGTGCCTTGTGTTTGTAGATGACTTTTAGCAGTCATGCTGTGTTAATATCTCTGCTATGTGCCCTTTAATGTCAAGTGACCTGAGTGTGTGTGTAATCCTTTGGCATATCATGAGTAAATATTGTGCACTTTGACCCCTGGCAGAGCGCAGTGCATGCCGCGTGGACCAGATCTCTGGGGCGTACGGCTGGTGGGGGGAGCGCACGCGTTTCCTCACCTCCCTCCCCTCCTGTCGCACCGAGAACTATGTCCCGGGACTGCACCTGCTCACCTTCCAGCATCCACGCAATCAGTCACAGCCTGACAAGGTACGACAAGTTCAATCCTGAGCTCTCATGACCTTCTATTCTGCAGACACTTCCTCTCTTCTGTGTACCTGCTCTAGGCATCATTCATTTTACTCCATAAATAAAATTTGTTTCTGTATGTTTACACCCTCTTCTTGTGACTTCACTTACAATAATCAGTATTATTTTAGTATCATCGAGACGCTATTGTAGTTTGTATTAAAATTTTGAATTAGTTCTTGTTTTTATATTTTGTTTTCATTATAATTTTATCTGAAGGTTTAGTAGTATTGTTGTTTTTGTCATTTTTATTAGTTTCTACTATGTGTATATAGTTTTTATTAATTGATTTCAGTTTTAGATATTTTAGTACATCAAGTTAGTTAGCTGAAATAAAGTTTTTTCCAGATAAATCAAATTTTATGTCAAGTAACAAAAGTTTATTTTATGGTTTTAGTTTAAAACTACTATAATAACCCTGGTAATACGTTTTCAATCTTTAATTTCTACATCCAGATTTTGTTTTACTTCTGTAAAATATTTGTTACTGTAAACCCTTCCTCTGAGCACCCCACCCTGCCTCTGCTCTCTTTCTCTCTTACACTCATGCACTCTTCTTCATAGGTATCTATCCTGCGCAGTACCTCCATCATCCTCAATCCCTCTACAGAGATGGATGTGACACTGCAGTTTCGGGGTTTCATTCATCCCTTATGGGGCGCCACTCCTGCAGCGCCACCTCAGGAAACTGTTGCCATGTGGGCTCGAATTCAGAAGCTCCACTTTACTGCTCAGATGGCTTCTGGACCCAACTCCCTTCAACTGGTATGCGATATCAAAAAATCAGGTTTCCTGTTTTAGACAAGAAAGTCATGGTGTGAAGTGTCTTGAGGCATGTAACTTGCTAAGTCTCTTCTAAACCTTTCTTCCATGCAGACGGATGTGCTGGGAAGGTGGTCCGCTCAGGAGGAGAAGGAGATCCGTATGCTATCTCGGCCGGATGGTTCCCGTCTGTTCCAGAATCTTACACGAGGAAACTGGTACCTGATCCAGGCGGAGGGCTACCTTAATAACTCCGCATCAGGACAGACTAGTGAGATGGCTCTTACCTGGAACCGCACAGCTTTACCTGGCGGCAGCGTAAGTATTTATTACCTAACAAAGCAACTTAAAAGGAGACTCTTATTCATATTGTGCCTTTATTCATTAGGCATGATTTGTTTTGTATTTTTATAAAATTTTATGGCTCCAACTAGGGAAATTTCATAATTCTCATAATTAAGTGATTTCAGAAAAACCTTTGAAACAGTTTGAAAGCAGCAGAACTGTAGTAATCGTTGTTTAATTAAGTCATTTAATTTTATATTTTTATTAAAAATATTTTATGAAAATAAAAAAATTATTATATATAAAAAAATATATATATAATGAATTATACAAAAGATAAAAATTATACAATGAGCAAAGTGATTGCAACCTGACTAATTATTTTATTGTTGATGTTAGCCTTAGTTCCAGCTCTATAAACTTTCTAAGTGCGCTATAATATTTAGGTATTATCATATAATGCTGTTCATTGCTCTTTTTCATTGTTTTCTAGGAGATTTCTTTCCTGTTCCTGGAACCCTTCCGCTCCAATTCGTGTTCAGAGTACCGCTCATGTTCGGCCTGTCTGTCTGATCAGTCGTGTGGCTGGTGTACCACCATGAACCTGTGTTTTCTGCGCTCTGACATCAATCAGCAGCCCTGCATAGACTCGCAGGGAGAAGAGCGCCACCTACTGCTCAACCCTCAGCATTGCACACTGTGTGAGGAGTATAGAGACTGTGCCGCTTGCACTCAGGTACTGCATCCACATCAACATGTCTGAAAGACTGCCATGAGTGTTTTGATCCAGAGCAGCATGCAGTCTGTTTACCAACTTTCATGTTCTGTGAGGCTGCAGTGGAGTTTCTCTCATGTCTGAATGTTTGTAGGACCCCTACTGTGAGTGGCAGATCAACTCCAGCAAGAAGGGAGATTATCTGTGCAGTCGCCGTGGGAGATTGGAGGGGTCTATCCGGGAACCAGGAGGGTGTCCTAAAGTTTGCAACCAGTGAGTTTGAAGTGATAAATTTGCCTATGAATTATTTGGTGTATGTAATATTTGATAGGCTGAAAGACTTCAAAAAGATATCAACTTTGGTTCTTTTTTCATTTACCATCCTCTTTCTCTAACAGGAGGTTGACGTGTGGAGAATGTTTGTCTAACTCCAGTCAGTGTGCATGGTGTGAATCAGCTCAGTCCTGTTTCTACTTTGCTGCGTACCTCACAAAGTTTCCCTATGGAGAGTGCAGGGACTGGTATGACAGGTAGGTTAGTGCAGCTTTTGCTAGGATTTTAGGTCGTTTGTCTGATAAAAGCTAATGAAATCCACTATGTAGTTCACATACACTAGACACTTATAGTGTTTAATAATTAAAACTGGATACACTGCTCAACTGAAGAATAAAATATAAAGAAAAGCTGAATTGTCTGGTGTAAGGCCATGATTTGGCCAAAAAAGCATACTTTTTTCCTATTGCATTTGCAGTTTGAACATCTCACTTTTAACATCTCATATTTGCTTCTGCTTAGATGTCCAGGAAAACAAAACAAAACAAAACAAAAAGACTAGATAGTTTACCCAAAAATAAAAATTATTTACTCAGTCTCGTGTAATTCCAAACCTGTATGACATTCTTTCTTCTATGGAACATAAAAAAGATATTCTGAAGAATGTTGGTAACCAAACCCTTTAGCTTCCCATTAACTTAATTGTATTATTTTTTTTTGTTCATTTAATGGAAGTAAATGGGAACTGAAACGATTTGGTTACCAACATATCATCTTTCAAGTTCCACAGAAGAAAGCAAGTCAAACCGGTTAGGAACGACATGAGGGGGAGTAAATGATGACAGAATTTTACGGGATTCCTTTGTGTGGTTTAAACTGTAAATGACTGGCTGAATAATTGAAAATAATTTAAGTCGGGCTGAGAGACCTCTTTAAAAAATTTAAACCATCACAAAATGAACAAACAATGGACATGAACTTTAGTGTCATTGTTTTACATTTACAATGTTGTTCTTTTGGAACCCAGTCAATATGAATATAATTATAATAATTATTTATTATTAATATTATTATTGTTATTATAACACCAATTGTCAGAATTAATTGTCTGTAATTTATTTATAATAATAAATTACAGTATAATAGTAATAATAATTTTCTTTCTTAATTGCTTTTCCTTCATTAGTGCTTTCTGTATTATACTGCATAGCTTGTCATTGCTTTTGAAAATTAGAATTTTTCCTCTCTGATCTTCTCTCTCCAGTGTTCACTCTGTCCCTCAGTGTAAGCAGTGCGCTGCTCTTGCAACCTGTTCAGAGTGTCTGCAGACGTTTCAGTGTGGCTGGTGTGGAGACTACAACAACCCCACTATCGGCAGGTAGGATAGGAACGTGTCTGTGAATACACCAAACAACCATCAACTTCGGTGAAAACGACTTCTGATCACAATGTTTTCATTATTATATTACTTCCTGCCCCTCTGGTTTTTCACAGGTGTTTGAGAGGTGACTGGGGTGGAATGGATGACCCCTTGGCTGTTAACTGCAGCATGGCTGTAGCTGAAGTGAAAGCCAGCAGGTAAGATTGAAACATTTTATACCTAGTGGCTAAATGAATGTGTCATTTGATAATTATTTGATTTACATCTCTTCCTTCGTCCATCAGCCCTGAGCCTCAAACTTTATCGCCCCCTCGGTTGATGGAGCTTGAGATGGAGATGGAGTTGGAGCTGGAGCTTCTGGAAGGGATGGAAGGAGACGGAGACGCCGTTTGGTCCTACCCATCCTGTCCGGATGTGGAGGAGTGTCGCTTGGGCTTGCATACCTGCCATCCCTCTGCTACCTGCGTCAACACCCCAACCTCCTACGAGTGTCACTGTGAGAGGGGCTTCCAAGGAGATGGAGTTCACCACTGCAACCAGACGTGAGATTTTCTGTTACACTAATTGCAGGGGTGGATGTGTTTCTTTAGAACCTCCAGAAGTTATTACAGCTCAGGAATAATCATAGTACATCCTTGTAACCTATAATAATGTTCATGCTCTCTCTTAAGATGTTATAACGAGTGCCGCCAGGGCCGGTGCAGCGGGAGTCCTCGGTTTGAGTGCGAGTGCTCTTTGGGTTGGACCTCTGATCCAGCCACTCTGGTGCTGAGCGGAGTAGAGTGTGATGTGGATTGTGGATGTAACTTTCACAGCACTTGTATTACGGCTCCAGGGATCTGTGACCAGTGCCAGGGTAAAGATCTTACCTGTGTGTTTTCCCTTATTTCTCCATCTTTTTAGCACTAAGCTATATTTTTCTTTCCCTTCTCAGACTGGACAACAGGGCCGCACTGCGAGCACTGCAAGCCTGGTAGTTTTGGCTCTGCTTTGGCAGGGGGTGAAGGCTGCATTCCCTGTCAGTGTAATGGCCATGGTGATGCTCTACAAGGATTCTGCCATAACCAGACCGCCCAGTGCTACTGTACCCACCACACCCAAGGCCCACACTGTGAGTCTTGCCTGCCCGGATACTATGGAGACCCCAGGTAAGTCTGAGAATGAGCTCTGTTTATTTGGTGAGGGAGGTATCTACAAATTTGAGGGCAGATGAAAATATGATGTAAACGAGGGGTTTTCATTAGGGATCTGCTGATTATTGTTTGATCTCAAAGTTAAAGGGAAAGTTCACCCAAAAATGAAAATTGTCATCATTTGCGCTTCCTCATGTTGCACCAAACCTATCTGACTTTCTTTCTTCTGTGGAACACAAAAGAAGATATTTTGAAGAATGTTGGTAACCAAATAGTTGCCGGTCCCCATTGATTTGGGATTTTAGGCCTAATCTTTTATACAATATGTAACATTGAAATTCACATTTCTCTCCCAGGAACAATGGCACCTGTTTCAGGCAGTGTCAAGGTCGCTCTGTTCTGCTTTCCTCTTCCTCTTCTGTACCCCTTTCCCTCTCCTCCTCTCTGGGGTGGCATGGAGCAGTCGGTGGCCATGGTGGGCTCTCTCATTGCCTGTGGGTCCTCTCTGTGTCCCAGGATTTGGCACCATGCATGCCAGGGCAGTCATGCCCACCCGTGGCCCTGACCTGGCACCCAGATTCACATACACAGTGCACAGTGAGTAGATTATTCCACATCATTAATCTGTTAGTTACTGTCAGAATAGCATATACAATTTAGTTACCAGCAATATTGTGACCAGAAATGTTTGCATTTCTTTATCCAACAGAACTCATATGTTTATGTATTTGATGGCTTGCCACGATTCCTCAGCAACGGTGTTGTGCACTCTGACCACAACCTTATTGGAGCATTTTGCGGCACAACGAGAATGGAGCCAGTTACTGTTGAGGCTACATCAGGTACTTGACAAAACTAAGGACTGAATAATTTTGTTTTTCATCACACACGAAGCAAAGTTAGCTATGACTTTCAACGTGCCAACATAGTTTTATATACTGTCATTATAAATTATGTGATTTCTTCTCCTCTAGGGGTGGTATCTGTGTATTTTGAGGCAAATGTTACCTCAGGACGTGCTCAGGGTTTTAATGCCTCATTCTGGGTGAAGCGATGTGGAAATGGAAGTTCTGGAGAGGGTACAGCCATCTCACTCGAGTGCCAGGCAGGAGCTCAGTGCGTAAATGGGCTCTGTGAATGTCCCCATGGTTTTGGTGGTCCACAATGTGACCGTCCTGTCTGCCCAGGGAATTGTGGAGCAGAGGAAGGCAGAGGCATTTGCAACATGGTGTGTGACATTCTTATTGCAGCCAGTTAAATTGTTTAAGAGCATAAGAAGCAAACTAAAATGCATTTTAGGTATGTCCCACAGTTCTCATCTTACATGTTTGTATATATGTTTACAGACCCTTGGCCTGTGTGTGTGTATAGAAGGCTGGGCTGGATCAGACTGTTCTTCTATCTCAGACTCGGACAGCTTGGTTTGGGAAACACTGCTTGACACTCAGCTGTCTGTGGTTAGATTAACTTTTTCCTTTAAGACTATAGAAAAAAAAGTCTCTGTTCTTGCAAAATCTCTCAGTTTTCGGTTTCATTTCCTCCCACAGAATAAGGCACACAGGTTCCTCCAGAGGATGGGTCACTCTCTGGTGTCTGGGCCACAGGGCACTCTTTGGATGTATGGAGGCCTCTCACTCTCAGAGGGCATCCTGGGAAATGTTTACAGGTATATTCTTGCACATTTTACTTGAAGTAAATGTTTTGTTACACAAATTTTTATAAGAAATATTTATATATATTGGTCTAGGTATTCCGTGGCCGATCGTCGCTGGACTCAAATGTTGACCAGTTCAGTAGAGGATAATTCAATGCCCCTGTCCCGATACCATCATGCTTCTGCTCTGGTGTATAATCATGACCCATTTTCTGGCTCCCAAGCAGCCACTCACAGTTTAATGTTTGTGGTTGGTGGGGTCACAAAGAAAGGTGTTGCAAATGACACATGGTGTCTGAACCTCAGCAGTCTGGTGTGGAAGCAGTATAAGGTACTACGTGTTGAATATCCTCACAGTGCTCTTGTGCTCCTCTTCAACTGTGTTAAGAGTGTTAACTGACAACTGTGTTTAGAGCTCAGTGCTTCCCCCTGTGGCTGGACACACTCTAACTGTGCGAAGAGGCTCATCTGTGCTGCTGATTGGAGGTTACTCACCAGAGAATGGCTTTAATCATCATTTGCTGGAGTTTAGTCCTCAGTCTGGGAACTGGACTATAGCTCCACACACTGGAACACCCCCTACAGGTAGAGATGGAACACTGCACTTTTTCTGTACTTAGCGCAGTTGGGAAATTTCTGTTCTGTTCTGACTAGCACAGTTGGGAAATTTTGTCTGACAATTGATTGTCTTAGAAAAAATTGCACTTAACTATTTAATTGCCTTTTTTGTTCACTTAATGTTTAAGCTAAATTCCTGTACACATCAAGAAGAAATAATTTATTGAAATTATTTACAATAAAACAGGTTTTCTTTAGGCTTTATGAACAAATGTATAGTACCACATTGTAGTATACACTACAGTTAATTAACACTTTTATTTAGCAAGGATGTATTAAATTAATCAAGTGACAGTAGAGACATTTAATGTTACTAAAGATTTCTGTCAAATAAATAATTCCTATTCATCAAAGAATCCTAAAAAATAAAACAAAATCACAATCTCTGTTGTCAACATTAATAAAACAAAGTTTTTTGAGCAGCAAATCAGCATATTAGAATGATTTCTGAAGGATTATGTGACACTGAAGACTGGAGTAATGGTTGCTGAAAATTCTGCTTGGACAATTGTAATGATATTTCACAATTGTTATTGTTTTTCACAGTATTTTTGATCAACTTAATGCAACCTCTGCGAACATAAGAGACTTCTTCCAAAAACACACACACAAAAAAAATCTTACTGACCTCAAACTTTTGAATGATAGTGTAGCTAGTAAGATTTTAAAATCTTTACAAATGTTTAAAATTTCTCTAATGGGTTAACTTAAGAGATAACATAAGAACAGTTTCTTTCCTCAGGCAATCCAGCTCATGAACAGTTAACTTGGCAATAAAACGTGTAATACACAACACTATTTATACACTTATTTATTTAACACACCATACTTCTTATTTACATTTCCTTGCATTTGTACATAATATACCTGTACACACAAATGCCATCTATTATCTATTTTGTATATTGTGTATTTTTTTTGTAATATTTGTGGTATATTATTATTTTTATTTCCTATTTACTTATTTTATGCTATTCTATTTTTATTATATGTGTCTTGTCACTGTCATTCTGTCACCAAAACAAATTCCTCGTATGTGTAAACATACCTGGCAATAAATCTCTTTCTGATTCTGAATACTATTCAATGGTATATTTCTATCCTGAATTCTTCACTTTCTTCACTGATAATAGGCAAATGTAACACTCCTGATTCAGTTCTTTTTCTTTTACCTTTTCAGGTCTTTATGGCCACTCAGCAGTTTATCATGAACAGACTGATGCTGTGTACGTGTTTGGTGGTTACCGTTTCCACGTTGAAGCTGTAGAACCTTCAGGAGAACTTTACAGTCTTTATTACCCCAATCTTACTTGGTCTTTACTGGTGCCCTCTCAGGGAAACAAGGTAACTGTAAAAACAAATGGTGGTCAAAATGATGAATATACAAGCAATTTGGCAGGTAGATGACACTAATCATCTCTTTCTCCAGCCTCTCTCTCGTTTCTTCCATGCGGCGGCTTTAGTGAAGGACACCATGGTAATTGTTGGAGGCAGGACAGGGGAAGAGGATTACAGCAACACAGTTTCTCTCTATCAGATCAGCTGTAACACATGGATACAGCCAGGTAACAGTTACACATATCTGGATACAGTATATTAATTATGCACTTGGTAACACTAGTCTGTGCTTACTGACAGAATGGTGTGGGCCTTTTCTTGTACCATTTCTCTAGTGTCCTCGGTGGGTGAACCTGTAAACCGTTCAGTTTCCTTGGCTATGACTGGGTGGGGTGGTCGCCTGTTCCTGTCTGGAGGTTTTAACGGAGTGACGCTGGGGCGACTTTTGACTCTTTCCTTGCCCAGTGACCCCTGCATCCTGCTGCCCACCCCCGAGGCCTGTAACAGCAGCACTGGTAGCTGTGTGTGGTGCAGAGGTACCTGTGCTTCATCAGACACTGCAGAAAGGTACTACAGGAACTAGTATAATCTTTATTCACAGTAGGCTACTATGGGTACCAGAAAGTTTTTTTCTAAATGACAATATCTCTTCTTCTCTTTTTAACAGATTGGGTTGTGCGATTGGACAGTCTACCTGTTCTCCTACTCCTCGTTCCCCTGATCAGTGCCGCCGACTCAAGACCTGCAGCGAATGTCTGGCCCGCCATCCTAAAACATTTTCCAGCCCTATGCAGGTACGATAATCACATCACAATCCAAAGTACTCTATTTGTGCAGTATTTTAAGACAGAGCTAATATGCTGAGTAAATGCACTACATAGCCAAACAGAATCTAATAAACAGATTTGACTAGGCTTTTTATGTCTAGTGAAAACAAATCATATTGTGTACAGGATTGTTCAAAAGTCTGTGGTCCGTAAGATATTTCTGAAATTTTTGTTAAAGTCTTTTATGCTCACCAAGGCTGCATTTATTTGATCAGAAAATACAGCAAAAACAGGAATATAGTGAAGTGTTATAACAGTTTAAATAACTATTTTCTATTTTAATGTATTTTAAAATAATTTTTTTATTTCTGTGATGGCAAACATGTAATGTCAGCAGCCATTACTCCAGTTTTCAGTGCAACATGATTTTTACTGTGATTTTTGATTACTTTTAAAAGTATCGGTATCGGGCGAGTACTGGAAAAAGTGGTATCGGTGCATCCCTACTTTTAATGTGTGCTTGTTGAAAAATAAATAAATAAATAATTTCTTTAAAAAAAAAAAATCTTTAAAAAAGTTGACCCCAAACTTTTGAACAGTAGTGCACATATTGCCAAACTTTCTAAGATCAATAAGATCAGTAGGAAAGGTTTAAAACTTCTTAGTTAAAGCCGATCTTGTAATTAAAAAATGACCTGAAATTCTCTCCGTCTTTCAGCCTGCTCTGCAGTGTAAGTGGTGCACAAACTGTCCTGAGGGAGCATGTATCAGCAGCTCAGTAAGTTGCACATCGGAGCATGACTGCAGGATAAACCAGAGAGAGATCTTCCTCTCTAGTAACTGCACTGAGACCAGCTGTGAGGCTTCTGACTGCCCCAAATGCACAGCTTCTGGGAAATGCATGTGGACACGCCAGTTCAAACGCACAGGTGAGAGTGTCCACACAATGTGCATGATTCTGCGGAGCCCCTAAGGGGACATGCTGAAGGAAAAAATATGAGATGGGAGGAAAAATTATATTTCAAAGCTTTTGTATTTGTTCTCAACTTTAGCATTCTCTTGCAAAAGTATTACGCTCCCTGAGAAACTTTGTGTTCGCTTGAAAAAATGTTGAAATATAGGTTTTCCTCCCACCTCATATCATTTCCATCACCATTTTTGCATTCTCTTGCAGAAATGTTGCCTTCCCCAAAGAAACAAATCCTAGAGCCAATGCAGAGTTTCTTGGAGAACACAAAAGTTTTGCCAATTTAAACATCTCTTTATATGAAGGCCAGCAAAAACAGCTTGTGTTAATGTTTTGACTCTTGGTTTAAACGTCAAGGTGAGACCAGGCGTATCCTGAGTGTGAACCCAACTTACGACTGGACGTGTTTCAGCTATGCCTTGCTTAACGTGTCTCCCATGCAAGTGGAGTCCTCTCCACCAATGCCTTGCCCTGAACCCTGCCATGAAATCAAAACCTGCAGCCAGTGTTTAAGCTCCCGTGGCTCTGATGGAGGTTGGCAGCGCTGTGTATGGAGCATGGCACTGCAGCAGGTAACATTTTCATAACGTTTGTTCCAACTTGAAAACTTTCTAAAAGAAGTCCGACCAGTAACCTTGTCACCTGTCCTCTTTTTTCTCCAGTGTATGAGCCCCTCCTTTGTTCCATTGCGCTGTGAGGCGGGTCAGTGTGGCCGTTTGCTTGCGGATGAAGATTCCTGCTTTCCCCAGTGTTTCCAGCTCTCTCAGTGCTCCCTGTGCATTTCCAGGCCACAGTGTGGCTGGTGTGCTGTCCGTGGTGGAAATGGGGCAGGACACTGTATTCAGGGAGGACTGAATGGTACATGTCTTTATATCTTTCTGCAGATTAAGCTAGTGAATCATGTAAAAATGTTCATGATTAAGTAATGAATAGTGGAACTTTTTAGAAGGCTAATTGTTGGATGGTTTCATTTGGGTACAATCAGTTATTCATTATTGCAGAAATGACAGGGACAGAGACTGCAGAGTGAAATGAGAGACAAATTAGTACTAGTGTGTTGCTATTAACACAAAATATACAATATACAAAATTATTTGAGTGCACATTGCCATGATTGTCCAATAAGAATCAAGCATCTTGGATAGATTTATAGAATGCAACAGTACACAACCCCATTGCGAACGACAATCCAATTAAAAACAGTACATTTTACGTTTATTGCAAAATCCCATATATTTAAATAATATTTTATGTAATTGTAAAGTTTATATAATATTTCTAATTTCTTGCAGAATCGTGGCTAATGTATTTATTTATTTATTTTTACCAAGAACTCTGCTTCAACAAGCATGAGTCATCGATTAACAACCTTGTAGCTCATAGTAGGTCTGTTTTTACCAGTTTGCAAGTTATTGTTCAGAAATCAATTGAATGGGAATTGATTGAAAAGTTGCAAAAAAAATGAATGGGATTTTTTACTTCCAGAACACGACTTTTGTACTCTATTATTTTGATCCAACATACAGATAAGACAACTTCTGAGCTGTTAGGCCCCACACATTTCACACACATTTATCTTTTATGTTTTTTTTAATGGGATTAAAACGTAACTGTCTTTCTACTCTGCAGGTGTGAGTGTAGCTTTGTGCCCACAGTGGAACAGTAGCTGGTCCTTCCTGCACTGCCCAGAGGAGGACGAGTGTGCCAATGGACACCACCACTGTAACGTCACTCAGGACTGCCATGATCTGCCTGAAGGCTACCACTGCACCTGCAGACAGGGCTACGTACTCAGCAGGTATATTTAACAGCTTTCATTCTCAAACAATATCACTGACCTCCCCAAGGCTAAGTAGTTTTTCTCCTCTCGCTCTCTTTTTCAGTGTGACGGGTCAGTGTGAGCCAGTGTGCGCTCAAGGCTGTGTTAATGGGACCTGTGTGTCCCCAGGAGTCTGTCAGTGTCACTTTGGGTTTGTTGGAGAGAACTGCTCCTCACAGTGCCGCTGTAATAAACACAGTAACTGTAAAAGCATCTCTCAGCTGGACACCTGTCTAGAGTGCAAGAATAACACAAAGGTACTGAGACATTCCAGTCTTCAGTGTCTCATGATCTGTCAGAAATCATTCTAATATGCAATTTGGTGCTCAAGCAACATTTCTTATTATTATCACAGTTGAAAAGTGGTGCTGCTAATATTTTTTGGAAACCGTGATAATTTTTAAGGATTCTTTGATGAAAAGAGTTCTAACAGCATTAATTTGAAAAAGAGATCTTTTGTAACATTATAAAAGTCTTTACTGTAATCAATTTAATGATTTAATGTGTCCTTGCAGAAAAGTATTTTCTTCAAAAGAAGACAGGCATGACGGGAGTAATACCATGTTTGTGTTATTATAAAACTATAGGTCACCTCTATCTCTTCCTTATTTTTTAGGGTCAGCACTGTGAAAAGTGTAAGCCCTTGTTTGTGGGCTCAGCTGTGGGAGGTGGGATGTGTCGCCCCTGTCGTGAATTCTGCAGAGGAAACAGTGACATATGTCTGTACAAAGAGGAGCATCGGAGGGCAATGGAAAATCCAAAAGACTATCCTCTGGACCGTGAGAGTGTAAGCAATTTTTTGGAAATGGTCTTTTCTTTGTTGCAGGGCCTGAGTCATTCATTGTATACTTTTGCTTCTCAGATCGAACAATGGGCTACAGAGGGCCCTACTGAGGACAATGCTATGTGTGTGAGCTGTCAGAACAACAGTGTGGGGGATAAGTGCGAGAGCTGCCTCAGTGGCTACTTCCTGCTGCAAGGGAAGTGTGAGAAGTGAGTGCATCAGAAAAGTAGCATTGACTATAATTGTGCTCTGATATTTCATTAGATGTTTGTCATACTTTTATTGTTCTGAGGTAGTATGCTATATTTTATTTAACCTGACTGCCAAAAGTTAGCACGTATTTACAGAGAATTGGAAAAAATAGCAGTTGGCTTTACAAGTAAGTTAGAGATAAGAAAATGTCCCCAGGTGTAGAAAGATCCAGTTAAACTGACATCAGTCTTTCCATTCTTTCCTGTTGCTTGTTTGTAGATGTCAGTGTAATGGCCATGCAGACACCTGTAATGAACATGATGGCACTAGCTGTCCCTGCCAGAACAACACTGAAACTTCATCCTGTCTGAGCAGCCCACAGAATGACCGTAAAGAGTGTTACAGACAACAGGTAATGGCCAGTTCGATACAACCAATGACATTTTACTCTGTTTCACAAATAAGACCTTGTATGAAATAATCCCAATTGTGCTTCTTGCAGTGTGCAAAGTGCAAAGATTCATTCAATGGCAATCCAGTTAATGGGCGGCAATGCTATCGGCAGTTCAATGTGGACAATGAATGCTGCTTCGACCCCACATCACAGGTCAACTGCTTCCATGAGCCTAACATCCGCAATCTGCTCAGGGGCCGCACAGTGTTCTTTTCGGCCCAGCCCAAGTTTACTAACGTGGATATCCGCGTCACCATCGACGTTACGTTTGGAGAGGTTGAGGTCTATGTGTCCAACTCACATGACACCTTCATTGTGGAGGTAGACCGCCAGACCGGTGTGCATACCATCAAGATCGAGGACGAGACCACCTCTGCGACCACTTCGCGGGGAGAAAAGGAGGTTCCTCTCGCCCCACCGTCACCCATGAAGGTGTTTGCGAACTCCTCATCAGCATTACTTGGCACGCTACTGTCCACAAAGTCGCATGGGACAGAACGTGAGATACGGGAAGAACGAACTGAAGGTCTCATAACCTACATCACCGTATGGAAGCCACAGACGGTGTTGATTGTACGCGGCGTACGGGACCGTGTGGTCATCACCTTTCCGCACGAAGTGCACTCTCTCAAGTCCAGCCGCTTCTATATTGCCCTGCATAGTGTGGGCACGGATACCCATAACGGAGAGTCCCAAGGCCTCCTCTTTCTACGACAGGACCAGGCCCACATTGACCTCTTTGTCTTTTTCTCCGTCTTCTTCTCCTGCTTCTTCCTCTTCCTGTCCATCTGTGTGCTGCTCTGGAAAGTCAAGCAGTTCTTAGACTTCCGCCGTGAGCAGCGACGCCACATTCAAGAGATGACCAAGATGGCCTCTCGCCCATTCGCTAAGCTCACCGTCTACCTAGAGCCTGAGGAGCCGCAGCTGGTTTACTTACCCTCGGCCGGAGGGGGCAGCACCGTGTCCCTGGCCCACGTCCGGACAGGCAAGCTTGGTGGCATGGTGATGGGTCAGAGGGGACGACCCGGGGCTCTGTCCTACAAACATGACCCCGGCACAGGCACTGTCACTCACCACCACCACCACCACCATCTCGCTCTGAGCGGAGGCAACAACGGGCAGCACCTTCCCCTGCACTACCTGAATGCTCACCACTACGCACCGAGCTCTACGGCCAACCCGACCTCGCATCACCACCACCATCATCCGTCCTCACACGGCAGCTACCAGCATTTCTGCCGCTCCGACCCCTTCCTATCCCAGCTCATGGGATTTTCATACTCCTCCTTCAAAGTTGGGCCAATCACTCTGGAGCCCACAGACGACGGGATGGCAGGGGTGGCCACTGTGCTCATACAGCTGCCAGGAGGCATCCTTGCTCCCAACCGGGCTTGCTTGGGTTCGGCGCTCGTCACTTTACGGCAGAATTTGCAGGAGTACTGTGGACACGGAGGAGCAGGAACACATCCCGGCGCCGGGGGTGGCCGAAAAGGCTTGATGGGCCATCAGCATCTAACCACCATGGCTATGTGAAGAGAACATATGGAATTGAGTAGGAAAAAGTGACTGAAAAGGAAAAAACAATCAAGAGAGTTTTAATGAGAGAGAACAGGAAGGAAAAAGGAAGTTGCAGAGATGTTAAAGGGGATAGTCCACTGAAAAAATTAAAATTGTGATCATTTACACACCCTCATGTCGTTCCAAACATGTATGACTTTCTTCTGCGCAACACACAAGACGATTTTTTTGAAGAACTGTTTTTGTCCATGCAATGAAAGTCTGTGGGGTCCAAAACCAAACAACATTGGACCCCACAGACTTTTTAACCAAACAATTTTGGACCCCATTGACTTTCATTGTATGGACGAAAAAGCACAGAAACATTTTTCAAAATATTTTATTTTGCATTACGCTGGTTTTGAACAATATGAAGGGTGAGTAAATGATGACAATTTTCATTTTGGTTTGCTCTGTTGAGGGTTTCAAAAGGGATGTATTTATTACAGGAGACGAAAAAGGTAAATCATATGAAACAGAGAAATTGTACATATACTGTAATTAATTATTAGATGTTGTTTACTTGTTTATCACTCCTAAAAATCTCCATATTGACTTAAGGCAGCAACCTTTATGCAATGCACTACTAGTATCTCCATGCTTTGTTGCTGTAACCTTTTGTCCCATATACACTACTGAAATCAGCTGGACAAGCTGACGACTTCAGCATGACATATCGACCAGTGAAAAAGTTGTCTTTGCAGCTGAACCAATGTGCTTTATATCCTTGTGTGACAATCTGAACTGCCATCCAAACCAAGAGACGGTGCAACATGTCCACTTGAATGTGCAAATCTTTGATTGTCTGCAAAAAACGGGCACAGATGTTGTAAAAAATGTAGTTGTAATGCTTTTGTTACTGGTATTTTGTCATGGCTGTGATTGGTCGATGCTTCCTGTAATATAGCAGATTTGAATATAGTCTAGTCAATAGGTCTGTTTCATGGTGAGCCATTGGCTTATTTTTATACATATTCATTCAGACTGAAGATGCATTTCAGACTGTCAATCGACAGCTTATGGTCACACGTCCTTTTTGTTTGCATTAATGACATGCCTTTACTAACTTTGCCTTGACCAGACATTAATATAACTGTGTGACAGAATCCTCACTCTTTTTGTATTCAATTTAGGATTGAATTTGAGTTTAGGCCATTAATATTTAGTGCTGCAGTTGTGTGTATATATACATATATGAAGGAATAAGCTTATTATTAATAAGGGCCCAGAAACCTAATTTTTTTCACATTGTGTAGTAAATGAAGGATACTACTTTTTTTTTTTTTTTTT